GGTGACCAAAAACCAAATTCTTAGGTTTTACATATTAGTATACTCTTACATTGAAGCTTTTGTATTTTTTCTCAGAAATGAGATATTTTCCCGCGGTAAAAAGTATCCCATATGTTGACCCGGATAACCAGCTATCACCGTACTAAATCACCATCAAAATCCCTTCAGCGGTTTTTCTGTGATGCGGTAACAGACAGACAGACAGACAAAAATTCTAAAAACTATAGATTCGGTCTATCATAATGTTTATTTTAATAAGATTTTCCAAAAAATATTTCATGTACAGATTCCGATTAGTTACTATTTTATTATATGTATAGATTAGCGACTCACTCTCGCAGCGCTGGGTTCGTTCCTACTTACGTTTTAACGTTTAGCATAGATTTCTCAGAGATGAGATATTTTCCCGCAGTAAAAAGTATTCTATATCCCGCCTATACTCATCCACCTACATATTCTTCCGAATAGTCATGAAAATGGGTTCGTAATTTGCAATATATTTCGCGTACTTACATAATAATGTATACGAGAAGTCGGTCTCATTTAATGAAACTACACATTAAATATCAAGTATTCGTGACTCGACTGCATTTTTCCAAGCAAATGTTTAAATTTGAACATAAATTTTAGTGTTTCTCTGCAATTTTCACATGCTATACTAAATTCTTATTTATTTTATAAAAATTACTGGTATTATTAAATTACGTCTCGTTTTATACAAGAAATAAGGCATTATCGATTTTTTCAATCTTAATTTTATCTACTCATAAATAACGCAAGCGGTGGTAGCCCAGTGGTAATGTGCATTCTTAGAAAATCGTGTTAAATGAGTTCAAACTCCGGGTCCCGCATGTTTTGAAGGCTTACCTTAGGTTGAAGGAAAAAATCGTGATGAAAATTGCATGTCTGAGAGAACAAGTTTTCGACAACCATGTGACATCGATCAACCCGCTCTTAGCTAACATGGTGGACTATGGCCTGATCCCTCACATTAAGGGGAAGACTACGCCCTGCAGTGGTTCTTTATAAAAAGACCTATTTCTCTATTCTTCCCCTTACTCCTTGATTTCGTATCGATACGACAATTCGGACAAAATCGATTTTCAAGACTTGATTATATAGTAACTAATAAAAGATAATTAATAGACAATGATGTCACATGTCATACATACACACAAATCTCTCTCACTCTCTCTCTCTTTTTACGCCAATATTAGACATTTTAAATAAAAATATCTTTTTAGATATTTTCCCAATGTTTCGAATGTTTTACAGCATTCATTTATTTTCACGGAAGAGGCTAAAGTTTTAGACGTGTCAAAGTTACAATCTTTTCCTTGTTATACTATTCTAACTACCTGATTAGGGGCCAGCAGCAATTTTTGTAATTATAAACCCCTCCCTCCCCCTTGTCAGCAAAAGTAAGCAAATCTCTTACTCCCCTCTCCTGTGCTTTCGTACACGTTACGTCTCAATTATTTTGGGGAATCCCTGAACATGCTTTTCGCTTTCGAGCATAGACAAGTAGGGTTATCATATGCGTTCTGAACACATTGATTTGACAAATCAAAATCAAAATATATAATTATAACTTATTATAATTAATTATTTTAAATAAATAAATATTGCTACTCACCATCCAGACCACCTCCTCCCGCCGTCCCCCGTGTCATCAAAAAGCAAGCAAAGCTCTCCCTCTCCCTTTGGTCTTTACGTTATACTTGAATGGCCCCTTATGATGAAACTTTTTTGATGTAATTTTTCCAGTTATGTTTTTAAAATTTTATTAGGACTCGAGCTGACCGTTTGTATCTGCAGGTCTAGTTTTTCCGCCGGATCTTAGTCTATATAGATAAAATCACTTGGCCCTTTGAAAAACCAAAACAAAACTTTCTATTAACTATAAATACACTCTATTTTTAAAGAAATAAAGTCGAAATTACGTTATTTAAATCAAATGACATTTCCAAAATCAGTTATCTCTATTCCAAAGTAAAATAAGCTTTATCTTCTAACGTTAAAGTCTAAAACTGTTCTAACATAATTTTAATAGTTAAAATATTTTAGTCAAGCAAAATTAGACTTTATACCTCTAGTCTAAAGTTGTAATTTGATAAAGTTATCTGTAAATATAAAATTTTCATGGAAGCAATATCGTGCCTTTAAGTTATGTGCTTTATTTTGTTTAAGGGGCCGTTTCGTAAATAAGACGTCCTTACTAATGTGTGATGGTTGGTTTGTTTGTTTGTTTGTTTGTTTTTTCCGTCTTTACGCAACAATAAAACAATGAATTGGTGTTATATTGCATAGAAAAACTTAAAATTTGTAACCGAGTGAAATGGGTTCGAATCTCGGGTCTCGCACCTCTGATATTTTCATGTGCGAATCATTTCCAACATGATAACCACTTGGGTTATGAAGGAAAACATCGTGACATGCTCAGTCCGCCCGCACTTGTTCAGCGTGGTGGACTACGCCCTGATCCCCCTCATATTGAAGGGAGGCCCACCTCCAACAGTGGGACGTTAAAAAAGGCTGAGTGCAATTAGATTTAAATTAACTAACGGCTCGCGTACTTCACATCTGTATAAATATTATAAATGTGAAAGTTTGTGAGTGGATGCTTGTTACTCCTTCACGCCAGAACGGCTGAACGGATCTGGATAAAAATTGGTACAGAGATAGATTATATTCTGGAATAGTATCTATGCTAATTTTTATCCCGGAAAAATGTACGGATTCCATGGGATAGGTTTGTTTTTGTTTTCCGCTGATGATTTTTAATAAAATTTAATCTCTCAGACATGCAGGTTTCCTCACGGTGTTTTCCTTCACCGTAAGGCAAGTAGTAATAATAGGCCTTCGACTTAATAACGAAACAACAACTTTACTTTCGAAAAGCGACAGTATTATAATATATAAAAACATACATACAGACGAACATAGAACTTTCACCTGTTTGGAAGTCAGTTAACAATTTATTAATACAATGTGTTGATGATAAATGAGATTTTTAACAAAAAGATATTGCGATTTTCAGAAAAAACTGTTCAGTACCATTTTCTCCTCTATTTGTCAACAGATTTTTTTCCAGTAGCTATTGAGGAGCTTTAGCGTTATCAAAAAAAAAGATCACGCTTTATTTTCGATCATTGGTCAAGGCTTCAAAATAAAACCAAAAACAGTTTTATTTAATACTAGCGACTCATCCTCACTCCGCTCGGATTCGTCCCTACTTACGTTTTAACTTTTAACGTTTAGTAGGTATAGATTTCTCAGAGATGAGATATTTTCCCGCAGTAAAAAGTATCCTATATGTTTTGATCCGGATAACTAGCTGTCGTCATACCAATTTTCATAAAAATCCCTCCAGTGGTTTTTCCGTGATGCGGTGACAGACAGACAGACAAAATTAAAAAAAAGTATAGATTCGGCCTCTATCGGTAATGACTATTTCAATAAGATTTTCCAAAAAAAAATTCAATGTACAGATTTGACGCAGAATTTTATTATATGTATAGATGTGAATAGAGTTAGGATAAGTCACTTAGTTCAGTGCAAGCGGAAGCCCATATCAGGGGCGGTAGGGTGTAAATCTTTGCGGCTTCCGGATACTATCGCGGTCATCTTTAGTGAATGTAGGTTACTGTTACTGCATAGTAACATTTGCTATTTATGCTGTACAAATTGTTATAAAACTTTTCTGCTTATTTCTAGATTTGCTAGTTTTCACCTTGTTGGTTATTTTGAAGTTATACTTACTTCTTTTGGCACGTTTGGAAAAAAATGTGAGAGTAAAATTTTTACGATGCGCGCGCACACCGACAACCAAAAAGCGACATGATGAAGTTAGCGGAAAGCGACATGAAGTTAGCTGCATTCCTTTTACAAACAGAGAGTTGTGACACAGAATGAAATATAAGCTATTTTTGTTCTGTTATGCCAAAGAAGTACCTATAACTTCTTACGTGCGTGCGTACATAAGTACAAATACACGTTTTTTGTATAGAAACTGCGAGACGATCGGATTTGTCTGTGATTCCCCTCGTATCTCAGAGGTTACCCATAAAATACTCACATGCTTTTAAAATATATACAGTTATGTCGGAATCGGAATTGCCGGATTTAACGTCTTTCAAAAAATTATTAAGTTCTCTGAGACTGCGCTTGAAAATTTCTGAACAGAACCCCGGAAATCACTTTACTTGGTTTTACAATCGCGTTCTAAATTAAAAATATATAATGGAAATTCGTTTTTAATTTTGGACCTACACCACAAAATTATTATTAAATTAACTAAAAAGATGATAACTATGTATTTAATAATATATTTAAAAAATGTTTATATAATAATCTATACTATTTTAAACAATATCTTTATAATATCTTGTTTAATTAAACGATTCTCGTTTTCCGAACGTTTCACTAGTAGAGCTGGAAATACAAATATCGATTAAAATCATAAATCGATATTTAAAATCATTTAACGTTAATTCGATTACAGATTAATAAAAATCCTATTTCAAGAGTTATTTTAGGCTTTTTTTTATTGAAACAGTAATTAAAGCCATACTGTAAAGAAGCTATTTTGCATATAATTATTTTTACTAATTATTATTGGCGTCACTCACGGCACTTCCTTTAAAACATATCCTGTTTTAGTTTTCTCAAAATACTGTAATATTTGTTTGATTTTTTTGTATTGATTCATATCTTGTTGTAAAATCTTTAATTGTGATTAGTCTTTTTTATAATGCAAAAGTGATTAATTAAATGAAATTTCAATAAAAATAATAATAGCTTATCAACTAATTTTGTATAAATAAAATAAATAAAATTTATCGACGTCCTAATCTAAAATTAAATAAATATTTAAATGCTTTGGTTTCTTCTCTTTACTTCTTTTCTACTGAACAATTTAAAAAATATATCGGACATTTAACCACCTATCAAATATGTTTCTTCACCATATCTAAAGTAACATTGAATTATATTTTCAGCTCGTCCTTGCGGTCGTCAAGCTGAATGCGCTGGAATCAGCAGTTCTTCCTGTGTAAGAACTCACTACGATCCAACTACCAGATGCCTGTGTGGGGACAACTCTCCTCCCTTGAATGGCCAATGCGATTCTGTTACTAAAGGTAGTTTAGTTACTAATATATCATTATTCGATTGTAAGAATGAACCACTTTTGATGAAATTTGGTACTTGGAAATCTCAAGTCATACGGACTCTTGTCAATGTCAGACATCTGTGAGCAATGTAAACCCCTAGGGGGATGTAATAACATTTAAAGGTGTGTATTTAAAAATCGTAATATTTGTGTAGAAAATCGAGAGTTACTACTTCTGAATTCTTCTGAACTCTTCTACTTAATGAATTCGTTGCTTTATAATGGCGACAAACATACAAATGTTAAACGATAGATACAATATCTTTAAATCTTATACTATATATTTTATTCGAATAAAAATAAAGCTATTTCTTAATAAAAAGCGTAATAATTTTGAACAAAACAGTTAAGCGAAAGCATGCCAGAAGATTGATCGTCCGATTACAATATTAGATTAAGTGGTACGTGGTGACCTTTTTAGATATTCATTTTAGGGGTAAAAGAAATAAAGAGGTCAAACTTAGTTATAGCCTCCGTCTTTATGTGCATTTGTACGGTTTTTAAAGATTTACTTCCAAAATATTATCTTAATTTTTCACTCGCAGTATGAAATGGAAGTAATGCTTACTTGTACTATTTATTTTGGATCGACAAAAGAAATGAACTCTATATAACTATATCAGTTTTTTAAAATGTATACCATATGTTTTTGTAGGTATGATTTTTCAAAGTTTAAACGACTAATCAAACATAAGACATAATAAAATTAGCAAGGTTGAACGTGGTCTAAAAAAACAATGGTAGTACGAGATCGGCAACGCGCATGTGATGCCCCTGGTGTTGCAGGCGTCCATAGGCTGCGGTAACCGCTTACCATCAGGCGGGCCGCATGCCTGATTGCCACCGACGTGGTATAAAAAAAACGAGAGCTATCATACTTAGATTTGCACAAATACTATTTTGCCCTTCTAAGAATATCTGCGACTTCAAACCAACAAATATTTATCCTGATTTAATGAAGATGTTAAATACAATCATATGAAAACATTCAATATTACAGTGGCGGAAAACTGTGAAAGGCATGTTCGTCTATGAATATTTCTCACAAGATAATCTTATTTGACATTTGGCAAGTTATTTTACGTATCAACGGCTTGAATGTATCGTTACTCAAAGTCTTTGTTTTGCTTCCTTTATATATAAATGCGTCAAAACGTGACCTTATTAAAAGGCCGTATTTAAAAACATAATTAATGGGGGGCGCAATAAATAAGTGGTCAAGCGTCACGCAATTTGCCTCGAGGACGAGGGGTGGCGCATGTAGTTGAACCTTTATAGCTAGTGACTTCGCACTTTCTCTATATCTTAGTATTTTATTTATTTATAACTTCTACTTTTTGCTTAAAACCAGAGAGATCATAGTATTGTATCCGTTTATTCTCAGCACCACCTGTTTTAAAATAATGCAAACAAAATATATATTTTATAAAGCAGCTGAATCAATAGAAAATCGTATCTAATGAACAGCATACTCTGAATAATTCTTTCCCAAATACCCTTTTTAGACCAATTACAATTTAAAATGTTAATTCTTATTTAAACACATAATTTTCATTTCTATTAACTGGAGAATGAAACTAGCTGCCTGGTAACTGATTGTAACAAAGGAGGTATTAAAGTAAAAACATTTCAAGATTTCATAAAACGATAAACTATCAAAAATAATTAAAACGAATTTGGGCTGTAAGTATATATTTCTCACGTTTATCATCGTCCAATCTAACACGAAAGCGAAATAACTGTTGTTAATTAGTAATCGTACAAAGTTAACCAAGTTAGTAATTGAAGTAAGCTTTAGTTGAAAAACTAAGGATAGAATGATCAAGGGCTATTTCTCAGCTACTACTACTATATTCGCTTCCGCCTATAAAAGCAAGATAAGGGCGAGATAATAGGGTTATTGCCTTCAGTAGATAAATGTCTAGATAAACAACATATAGTGTTAGGAGTTTTCGTAAACTACTCTTTACTAGTTGGAACTTGATCTGCAAAATATACCAGTCACTAAAACTCTCACCAACAGTGTGGTATTAACTGTCCCAGAGGTCATGAGTTCGAGTTCCAGATCGGACAAAGTTTAGTTCTGGAGTCTTTATGTTTAGAATGTCTCAGTAGCAGCCCGGAATTGGGAAGTTTGCGGTGTTTCCACCCCATGTCTCGGTAAACACGTAGATACCAGATTGGAAAAGGTTGTCGGTTCTGCGCGTGATCTGTCACTGATCGTGTCAAATTGTCGTTCCACCAGAGTAACAGGAAAAGAGAGTGCACTGATGTCTGCACATACATTTGTGCTCTATAATATCTCCTGCGCAGTTGGCTATTTTTAGTGAGATTGGTAGCCGTGGTCTAAATTGGTCGGGAGGACATGAAGTCCACTTCTGAAGTGTGGATTAGATTTTCCTGGATAATACACAACAAAATTTAATAAAACAACTGGACTTCGATTTTAATAAGTTAAATAAAACTTTTGAATTATTACTATTTCTTGTTAGTTATGATCAATCAAATTTATCTTAAAATAATATAAAATTATTTTTAGTATGTAATAGATATTTTTTTTAACGTTGGGAAATGCATTTACGCACGACGTGTGGGACTCACCGGCGTAATACAGCCAGTACTACCCACTAAAACCCAACAAAACCTTCCCCCGTCTTAATGGGGCGTCGCAGGATCGCTTACGCATTCAACTACGACGCCCCGACGGCAGGTCTGCCGAAGCAGACCACCACAACCATGGGGTTGCTCCACAGTCTACTCTGCTATCAGAGAAGTACCAGGAGCAACCCGCATGGTACACCGCCCCCCGAAGAGAGCCATCTCCCACCGCCCACCGAAGTGGGCAACCTCCCCGTGCGTTTCTTAGCTTCGCACCCGGTTGGATTGCCGGGCACTACTGAGCCCCTCCACCACGACAAGGTGAACGCACGTTGGGGGGGATGTAATAGATAATAACAATCTAAAAATTTACATAGCAACGCTTTAGGTCTATTTTTTTAAATAAAAATAAAACAAGTTTTTCGTACAAACTGATATTTATTTTTATTAAAAAGTAATTTTATTTAATTCTTAGAAGATATAACCATCCAAAATTTCATAAAAATCGGGTCAGCTATGATCAAAAGCCAAGAAAGATAATCAGATATTTAACCTTGTAAAATATTTACAGCGCTATACCACGTCTGCTCTAACAGTGACGAATGCAACGATGGTCTAATATGTGGAACTCCCAACATCACTGGAACTGCTCCTGCCCATCTCTTAGTTCATGCGCCTCAGGACAAAATCTGTTTATGTGATGCTGAAAATGGGTACAGGGAGAAAGAGCATTCATGCAGTGGTAAGTTTCGTTATATCCCATAGTATTATTTGATACCTGACTACATAAATGAACCCGCGTATATATATGTTACGCCTTCGCGCTGAAACGGCTGGATAAATTTGGATGTTTAATATAAAGGTAGACTATGACATGGAATAAAACATGCTTTTGTTATCAACTAGGCACGCATCCAAGTACAACCAAATTAAGACACTAGTTTTAATTATAACTGCTTTTCGAATTTTGTTACTGTTTTATTTTGATTCCCTGTTCCCGTACAATGAGCTTTACAACATGACATAAAAATTTTAATGTCTTCAAACTTATAGTTATTACAGACAGTCAGTACCGTAAACCGTTATTTTCGGAAACAAAAAATCAAAATAAAACCAAAACAATGTTCGAAAACTTAATTTTGTTATTTCACTTTTAATTGTAGATTATGTAGATGAAACATTGTAGAATATTCTAGAAGTGGTTAATTCTTGTGATGCTCACTCAATTCTCGAATTCTGATTTCAAACTAAGGGACTAAAGCGGGAAGGAAAAGTTAATACGTTTTTAACCGTTTTCAAAGCCGGAGGTCCTTTTGGTTTGACTATTTTATTAGATTGATAGATTGTGATATGTCATGATTGTGAGCCGATTGTAATGCTTTTATAGAATTGTCGAATTTTAATTTCATTCTACATTTACTTCCTTTATTTCAAGTCATTATTAATTCATAAACTAAATACAGATTGCTGTTAAAACTCATTATTTATCTATATTCCAGATGCTGATATCCTGAAGACATCTGTGATTGCAGTTATCATCGTCACCTGCTTAAGGAAAATGCTTATTAACTAAAGTAATTTATAATAGCACGTGTTTGTTAAATGTTTCCAATATTATTTGATTTCCTCTCTTGTTAATTATTAATATTTAAAAAATTATAGGTATCCTTTTGTAATTACTATTTTTTAAAAACCCAGTCAGTATAATCATATGATTATTATATTATGTTTAGGAATTTCATCAAATAAAATATCTCTAAGAAATATAAACAGATAAATTCTTATCTTTTTAAAATGTCTCTACACGTATAAATTGATTTGATGTGACGTTAGTTTGTGGTCTTTCTAGATTAAAATGTTATCTCTATTTTACACCTGTCCATCTGCTCGCATTCCACATCAAGAAGAGAAGAGAGTGATAGAGAAGGATAAAGAAAGACAAAGAAGGAATTTTTAGTATTGTTTTAGTTTTAAATACAAATTAAAAATATTCCTTTTCAAAATATTGTTAAACGACAAACTAGTGCCATTTTAAGTCAGTTAAAGGATATATTGAGTTTAGAAAAACAAATAATATAGGAAACAAACGTTCATAAAGCGATTTGCACGTTTTAGTTAATTAAATAGTTGAAAATATGATTAAAATTGTATGTTTGTTTATCACAGTAATGATGTTTTAAATTGTGATCTCCACTTTACTGTTTAGGTAACTTTTTCTATAGTGACTTTATAAATTTTATCAAGACTAGCTCAATAAAAATAGATTTAAGATAGATTCTTCTTTCACATTCGTAAAATGCTACTTGCTGTCGCACATGTTCAGATTTTGTTCGTCTTTGATTAATACTGCTTATATTTTAATATATTCAATAGCCTCATGTACCTACATTTTAAATTTAAAGTGGATTTTAGACGAAAGAAATGAAATTAGAAAAAAATAATTATAATTTATATCTAAGTTTTATTAGTACTGAGTCCACATGTCTTTGTTGTTTGAAATTTAAACTAGCTTTTATTGAATTTAAACTATAATCATAGAAATATACTTAATTAAGTTGGAGCTTAAAAAAATATGTTTTGTGCTTTATAACTTTTTTTTAAATAAAAGCTGTGTAGAACATACTTATTATTTACACGTAATTACAAATACTAATGTGCCTATGTAAAGCAAACGTCCACTAAAATAATGTACATATTTTAAAGAGTTGATATGAAATTATAGACATGTCGTGGTCACTGCATAAGAGTAGGTGTGTAAATAGTTTAGATATTTGCACTGCTTTGAATATATTTCAAGTCAGTACTTTTAAATATATTTGGTTATTTCTCGATTGACTCGTATATTTACAATATTTTCACAATAAATCTTATTTTAAATTTAAAAAAGTCAATTTACCATCTATTGAAGGTACATTTATCTTTGCCCATAATACAAATTTCGATATTAATTCTTTTATCATTCTAGACCATATAAAATATTTTGTTTTGATTTATTACTTAATATTTGTTTTAAATTAATAAATTAATACAAGCTAATTGTCATTTAGAATATTATAATTAAGGAAAATGTTTAGATTTTTTTAGAATAGACGTAATATTTCGTGTTTTAAATAAATATTCACAGCATTTTTGGCGTTATTTCTTTCATAATATCAGCCATTTATTTTGATCTTTAAAGTAAACAGTACAGGTAATAAATTTAAAAAGCATGTAAAAAAAAAATTACTTCACATATTTATCCTTGTAGACCGGTTAAATTCTTTTATTTTGTTTATTTGTTATTTAATTTGTATGTCTTGGCTTACAATAAAATTAAAAATTGACATACACTAAAATATAACATGAACTAATGAGAGTAATTTGTACAGCACCATAGTTTACGAAAAACTTTAATTTTATTCTCTTAAAATTGCGATCATAGGCTTCCTCTTGAGTGTTATTATTGTTTTATGACCCTTTATATTTTCATGTTAATAATTAGTTCGTAATAAACTTAATTACTCTGCAATATATAATATTCTTCAATACCTACATTGACTGAACATAAAAATAAATATTTTAATCGAATCTAAATTCTCTTCTAAAATTACAGTTATCGCTTTATAATAATCTTTAATCTAAGATTATTATAAATCGATATTTGTAATTTTAGAATCGATTTTATTATTCTCACTATCTATGAACTCGAAATGTCATTGTCATTACTCATTTGTGACATTTTAATTCTGTCAAATCTGAAATCGCAAATGAAGTGTCATTGTTTTTGTTGTTAAGTCATAAGTGCACATGTCCAAAATTTATTAAAAGCTTTACGTATTTTATTAAAATGGCGAAAGATCCGCTCGACGAAATGCTACAATTTTTAAAGCCTGAATCTAGAATTGATTTAAAACATATATCTTTAGATCATTTATTAGGACTATCTGGTACAGAAGATGGAATACAACTATTGCTAAAAAATGAAAGAATTATTCAGAGTGTTATAGAACTAACAGATGATAAAATTGAAGAAATATGCAAAAACGCGTTGTTATTACTTGTTAATATTACTGCTAGTGCTAAGGGTGCGGCTGAGCTACTAAAGTATAGACCTGAACACAAAAAAAACATAATAGAATTATTTATAGGTTATATAATGGACCAACATAAAAAAGATGCGGATGCTGCATGTATGGTCTTATCAAATATCACTAGAGAAGAGAATTTAGTAAATATATGTATAGACACATTCCTGCCGCATTTAAATGGCATATTTAATGTTTTTGTTAATGTAGAATATAACAAAAAGGGTTCCAAGCTTCACTATTTAGCGCCAATGATAAGTAATTTAAGCTCTTCGGCAAGAATAAGAAAGTGGTTGACAGAAGAAAACCCGTATATGCCTTTAATAAAACTATTACCTTTTTGCAATTATGAGGAATCAGTTATTAGAAGAGGTGGTGCTATAGGTACAATAAGGAATCTATCATTTGATACAGAATATCATGAATTTTTATTGAGTCATGACTTAGATTTACTTACATATTTATTATCACCTTTGATGGGAAATGAAGAATATCCTGATGAAGAAATGGATAAGCTGCCTATAGCCTTACAATATTTACCGAAAGAAAAAAAAAGGGAAATTGATATAGATATTAGAAAAATGATTATTGAAACACTAAACAAATTGTGTGCTAAAAGAAGTTGTCGAGAAATTCTAAGAGATAATGGAGTTTATTATGTGTTAAGGGAGTATCATAAGTGGGAAAAAGATCCGGCAGCTTTACTCGCTTGTGAAAATGTAGTAGATATATTGATTCAGAAAGAGGAAGAAGTTGGGGCAGAAGATTTATCGAAGGTTGAAGTTCCAGTCGATATGATAGGAAAGTTTTATAAAATGGACGATAGCTATATAAAAGATTTGCAATAAATATTGTTTATTAAATATAAGGTTTTTTTTTATATATTTTAATAGCAGGTCCAACATGATCTCTAATAGCAAAGAATAGGATGGAATGGAGATCTTTGGAGGAGACCTTTGTCGGAAAACAAGTTGAAGAATAAGTACTGTTTGCCGAATTAAAAATGCTATAACAGTTAAATTAATAGTATAACAGCTTATAGTATTATAGTTGATAGTATAATAATTTATTACATAAGAACAATACAAACAAAATGTAAAATAAGTTCTAGGCACATCAAAATTTTGTAATTTAAACTAAGATCAACAATAAAGGCTTAAACTTAGAATTACAACAGTATACCTTTTGCATAAGAATTTTGTTCTGTTTGACGCTTATTGTAAACTAAGCGTATTTCATATAAATTGCCAGATTATATGAACATCTATAACAAAATGTGCCATATGGTTTCACCCACGTAAAACTTGATTAAGTATATAATATATGAATGCCTGTTTCATATACATACCTATTAGTGTTCTCTATACAATGAGTATTTAACCAAAGTTTCGGAGCTTAAAGCACTTAAATATATTATAAACATCAGATTTACAATAATGTATTTGTTGCTAATGATTACTGCTCCGCTCCCTTGGGTAGTAGCATGATGATATATAGCCTGTAGCCTTCCTCATTAAACGGGCTATCTCATGCAAAAAGAAGTTTTTAAAACTGTTCAAACAAACTGCCTCTTTATAATACTAAAAAGTATAGATTTGAAATTTAATTTTGTGTAAAAAAGCAAAAGATAAAAAATATTCCCAAAAACCATAATTTGGTTTTTAAAAATTTGAAAGAATATTACTGACATGAACTAATTAGCCACAATTCGTTCATGATTACTGATTATGTAAAATCACATGAGTATTCACAGATGGCGCTTTTAGTTTTTTTTGAGTTGTTTATCACTGTTTAATATTTTTTATATAAAAGTTTTATAATGCAGGATAATTTTGCAATAGTTAATATATTATAGTTTCCACATATTTATAAATAAATAGACCAAGCAATTCATAAAATGGAAACAGCGTATTACTACAAAGTACAAACCTTAAAGCAATCGCATCTTTCAGGCTCAAAGAAAACTTAGTTCAAATAAATGTCAATAGATAGCATTATATGTCCTTCAATAAACGGGGTATCTACTGCAAAAAGAATATTTCAAATCTGATTTCTCAACCATTAGTAAAATTATGAATTTTCTACGTGTTAATCCGCATAACTTTTAAACGGTTTTTATACTAATACTAGCGACATACCCTCGCTTGGGTTCGTCCCTAAGTACGTTTTAATTTTTTTGAGCGGAACCCAATTCTTTTTCTAAAATAAAAGTAGCCTATGTTACTCCCTATAACAGCAGCTATCTTCCAGTGAAAGTCCCGTCAAAATCAGTCCAGCCGTTTCAGAGATTATCCGCAACAAACAGACAGACAAAAATTTAAAAAAATGTGTTTTTCTTATAAATACCGTATTAATTTCATATGCATTTAATAAAACGCTGTTATTTTGACATCACAAACAGAGACTTCAATTTTATTTATCTGTATAGATTTTAAAGATGTAAGTAAAGTTTGTGAGGTTGTAGGTAATTTTTGGATCTACTGAACTGATTTAGATGAAATTTGGTAAGAAGATAGTTTGAGACCCTGAGAAGGACATAGGATTTTTATCCCGGAAATCATTCCTTAAGGGGCTGAAAATGGGGATGAAAGTTTGTATGGGGAATCAACATAGTCGCTAGTTGTTGTAAATTATTTTCATTTATTGTAGTATCGATGTACAAAATAAGTATTCCAGAACTTTTAAACGTCTCACAGCTGGGCGAGAGCTTTCCTTCAAAACGAGGAAATTCGACAAAAATCGGTAGTTGTACTAAATATGGTCAAAAATAAATAAAAACATACGTTTTTAAACATTTATTATAATTTTTTTACATTTTTATTTACGACATTTATAACTGACACGCTAAAGTAAGTCAGTCAAGAATTACACTTATCTGAGTTCAAACAAAAAGTTGCTATTTAAAACAAAAAAAAAACAGTAATGCCTTATTTAAAAAATTAAATTTAGACAGTATCAGTCATAATTTCTCAAAAATGTTTATATAATGTCATTAAAAAATATAAACTTACTTAACAAATAATTACATTTATGTTTAAACTATTGTAGGGTCTGGATTCTAGGTTTTAGGCCTTCATTAAATTTATGAAAAAAAAAAGTTTTGAGCTCTTTTTGAGTCTTTTACACCTAATCAATCAATAAAACATACATATATCTTACATAATTAGAAATAAGAGATCTTATAAGGGATTATAAGGGAGCTTATAAGGGATCTATTTCACTATCACTATTTTTTTTTTAATTAAAAGGGCAATTCAAAAATATCTTAAGGCCAGTCAAAATTTAAATTATATCTTCTTTATATTTTAAATTACTTGTTTAGTTTATTTTTTTACAATATAATTTTTTACAAATACATTTCCGTAGTGGTTGTTTTTGGAACTAACGAAAGCAGTCCTATTTTTACATGATATTATAAATATAATAAATATGTTGGGACATTAACACACAACACCATCTAGTTCCATGGTAAGCTACGAGGCCTGTGTTATGGATACCAGATAGTTGGTACTTTAAATACATACATATTATAAATATAAACACCCATGACTGGAGTAAAAACATTCGTGCTCGTCACTCAAACGATTGCCCCCAGCGGGACTCGAACCCGCGACCGCTGGCACGACAAGTCGAATCAAACGTGTTGTCAAATGTAGACATTTAAATTATACCTGACCGACATCCCTTATAATCCCTTATTTCTAAATTACAAGGGGTTACTTATGTAAATATTACTTATTTTATAATGTAACATTTAAATATATATAATATCAGGGGGTCCATGAAAAAATAGGGGTTCTTTGATTTTTTTTTAATAAAAAATACTATTATTCAAAAAAAACTATCAAGAGTAAATAGAAGATATTTTCTAGAGCATTCCGTAGATATTTTTTTTAGAAACGGGGGTTTGAAAATTAGGAACTTAGATGAGTGGATTTATATATTATATATTATAGTAACCCTGTTTTCAATAAGGGCTTTTAAACTTAAAAATTACATTTGCCTTAATACGACTTTTCTAGTAACTTATGGGTTTAGGGATTATACTTTTTCTATAAAAAAAAAAGAAGCAGTCATGAGAATAATAATGAGAGAATAATATAAACAAACAGTTGTTATTTTTGGATATTCATATTAATTGTTTGATCTTAAATCAAAATTTGTAAATTAAAACTGTTTACGTTTGTCTGGTTTCGACATCTATCGGCACTCTGAGTGTTAGCGTCAACACATCACGTGACCGTGTCGATGACGCTCACATGAATTTACTCCCCATCCAAACAGATCTGCCTATACAAGATTTCACTTCAAAAATAATTGAAATCGGTTGATCTACACTACTATTATAAGGAGGAAAGATGTGTATTTTTGTATGTTTGTAACGAATAAACTCAAAAACTACTCGACTAATTTAGATAAAATTTGGTAAGAAGATAATTTGAAAGCCTGGGAAGGACATAAGATTTTTTACTCCAGAAATCATCCCTTAAGGGGGAAAATGGGGATGAAAGCTTGTTTTGGGAAGCAAGCTAGGGACACACAAAAAACACAAAAAAAATACCAAAGAGAAATTCGTCCTTCTTTGCAGTATGATATTAATAGTTCTAAATAGTTAAGAATTCAAATGCAGGACTATTTTTTCTATACCCCAGAAAAAAAAATTGAAATTGAGTCAGTAGTTTTTTATAACAAAAAAAAAATAACAACTGCTATTTAATAAATGATTATTAGTAACATTTATTTCTTTCTACACATCGACATTTAATTGAAAATCGTGTCACAGGGAAATATTTTTTTATTCCCGAGGTTTGTAGGTAGCGATCGCCTTCTGTCGTGCCTTACGCCTTTCAGAGGGGGTTGCCCCTTGAATCTTAGTTATTATGTGGGGCCCCTTCTTTGAGGGGTCCGGCACATAAGATGTTGTGCTATGCTAAAAAAATGTTTTTTTTTTTTAAATTATGAATTAAATATATATATATATATATATATATATATATATATATATATATATATATATATATATATATATATATATATATATTTCTAGTTTTTGCATACTATTTCTGTCATAAAACTAGTTAAAGAAGAGATGGAGAAGAACATCGATTAAAAAAGTACTAGATACTAGATACACAATCAGCGACAAAAATGTCCTCACCGAATGAGCGCTCATTTGAACATTTCAGCGCGCTTTTAATTATTTTTTGTTAAAACAACTTTAAGCATTGCATTTAAGGTTCAATTTACATTGTTGTATATTTATTTCAACTAGAACAATTACCTAAACACATTTGGTGACAGTTTCAAGAGAACCTTTGCATGGGATTATGTATCTAGTACTTTTTTGATCGATGGAGAAATCCCATCAAAATCGGTTCAAACGTTCCATAAAATAAGCGGGTATAAACAGACAAACAGACTAACTTTTTTTTAAACAACTAATAACTATAAAATAATTTAGCCATTTTGAAATCAGAAGCAAAAAAAAATTCAATACAAAATTTATTATAACTTTATCTTCTATTCCGAGGGAACGTGTAATCTCCTTTTCCGGGATCTCAATAAAATCGGTCATTTTAGAGATTGGTAAATAAACATTTTCGTTTTGTTCAACTTAATATGGGGTAGCTAATAGCTATATTCAAGACACAGATAGACATGTTAATTTAAATCTTAAAAGTTTCTTAGATTTAGGAGAATATTTGACATTTTAAATAAAACTCTCTCCGTGACCACGAACGATTGCTGTAAAGCATTCGAAATGTCGGGAACCAAAAAATCAAAATATATCCGCGAAATAATCAGAAAAGATAGTTTTATTTAAAATGTTAATTTAAAATTTTATTTAAAATTTTAGTTAAAATTTTATATACAATATCTAATGTACCGTGGTTCATTACTAATGACGAAATCCACCATAACTTGCACGTGTCCAAAATAAAAGAGGAAGTTCTTAGTTTGGCCTGCCAATATAGAACGCGCCTGGCTAATCACCCTAACATCCTAGCACACAGACTTCTGGATGATAACTGTCCAAGACGTCTCAAAAGAAAAGCCATACTAGATCTAGGATTATAATTCTAGCCCGACTAATGAAAGAGATTAGATCCTAATGAGGATCCACCCCGCATGACAGCAATCTCTCAACAAATTTGCTTATAGTCAAAAGACTGATCGCAAATCATACCAGGATAAAAAAAAAATATTTAAAAGGAAGAGTAGGTAACTTACATCATCCCAGTTCTCTTCGCTTTCCACAGTCGTAGTTTGCACTTCGACTACCGGTCGGTAATCACTGTCAGTTATGTACAGTATGGAATCTAACATATCTCTTTTCGGGCATTGCAAGACATGGTACTGTGTGACAAAGTTTTTTTTTAATTACAATTGAAGTTTAAAATTAAAAATATATTATCGAATCTATACTAAATAATATAAATGTGAAAGTTTGTGAGTTTGTATGTTTGTCACTTTTTCACTCCAGAACGGCTGAACGGATCTGGATGAAATTTGGTAGTTGGCACAGATATAGATTATAGTCTGAAATAACACATAGACTCCTTTTTATCTCGGAAAAATGTACGATTCCCGTGGGATAGTTTGTTTTTGTTTTCCTAGAGGCGAACCCGAGCGAAGCGAGAGTGAGCCGCTACTAAAGCATATTACACCATCACTGAATACTTTGTAGATGTTAATATGTGGAATTAATGTCTGGTTGGGTCTCACGTAGGATAAATAGATAGTTATTGTATTACAATATTGTGCACAATTATTATTTTAAAAGAACAACTGTTGAGTTTCTCGCCGGCTCTTCTCAGCAGAACTGACATTTAATTTTAAAATGTAAGATTGACGATTCAAAAATGCTTGTAAAATTCTATTTGAAAAAAGTATATTTTGATTTGAATTAGTGAAATATTTTCACTGATTTATGATTCTATCCCGTGGGATTACAGTTTTTGGGATAAAAATTAACTTAATCGAAAAAAATATTAAAGGACTCATAATTTTCGAATATGTTGCGTAACTCACACAAAAAAAAATAACTGTAAAAGAAGGTACAATTTTTTTTTGAAGTCACCTAAAAAATGTTTCATTTACAACAAAATGACCAGTCACAAAAGCGTCACAAGAACACCAATAAACATCAATCAAAAAAGTACTAGATACACAATCAGCGACAAAAAATTTCCTCATCGAATGAGCGCACATTTGAACATTTGAGCGCGCTTTTAATTTCAAAAAAATGTGAAAACAACTTTAAGCATTGCATTTAAGGTTCAATTTACATTGTTGTATTGTATTGAACCCTTTTTTAACGTCCCACTGCTGAGCACGGGCCTCCCTTTAATACGAGAGGGATGAGGCCATAGTCCACCACGCTGGCCAACGCTGCGGGTTGGCGGACTTCTCATGTCTTTCGAAAACTTGCTAGGTTCTCTCAGACATGCAGGTTTCCTCACGATGTTTTCCTTCACCGTAAGGCAAGTGTTAATTATGTTAGAAATGATTCGCACATGAAAATATCAGAAATGCGAGACCCGGGATTTGAACCTGCTTCACTCGGTTTCCCAAGCGGGCGCGTTACCACGGCTACCATTGCCTCATTGTTGTTGTATTTATTTCAAATAGAATAATTACCTAACACAATTGGTGACAGTTTTAAAAGAACTTTTGCATGAGATTATGTACATAGAACTTTTTTGATTGATGCCAATAAACAAAAAATAAAAAAAAAAGAAACAAAAAAAGAAGTTGAGAAAATCTAAAAAAAAGCAATAATCACTTACATCTAGCTCCATATCGTTCACAATGTGTGTGGAATCGAAGGGGCACGACACTTTTTTGCAATTGGGATGTTGCTTCCTGCACTTTTGCAGGTGAATATGCATCCTGTAGTGTTCTATCTGGTGAGACTTGTTGTATGGACAGGACACCATGTCATGGGGACCTGGGGTGGACATGGCCTGAAACAATAGTTTTTGGAAAATTTGGTCAGGAAATTATATGTTCTGGTTCTTCAGAACATTGACACCTACTGGTCCAACTATAGCTAAGAAATACTGATGATCCAATAAGAACACAAAAAACTTCACACTTCACTTTGTAAATAAATAAATAAATATATGTTGGGACATTAACACACAGCACCATCTAGTTCCATAATAAGATACAAGGCTTGAGTTATGGATACCAGATATGTGATACACTATACAATATACATATATAACTTTAAATACATACATAATATAATATTAACACCCATAACTGGAGTACAAACATTTGTGCTTATCACACAAATGAATGCCCCCAGCGGGACTCGAACCTGCGACCATTGGCACTGCAAGTAGGGTCACTACAAACTGAGCCAAATGTGTCATCCATTAGTCAAGCTATTTAGAAGATATACACATATACTAAAAAAATATTTATTAATATAATTTTCGCTTAGCAAGCGGAATACTTAATTAATTTACAGCAAAAATCTAAATCGCTCCAGTACATGATGTAATTTTCAATCTTTGAAAATTGGAGTGTGAGTAAAGTTAATGAAAACCTTAACTTATAGCACATAGCATTCACATTATTATCAAGGATTGATGTCATTTTAAGTTATATCATATTTCTATTAATGGTATTCATATAATATCTATTTTACTGACACACATTAAAATAAAAATATATATTACATTATAATTACTTTGGTATCTACATTCTATTATTTATAATGTTATTTCTTTAAGATTTGAATACTTGAGAGTTTTTAAAAATCAATTTAACTTACTAAGTGCTTACAGAGAGCAACACTTGTTGACACATGGAAGCTTGGCTTGTAACTAAAGGTTTGTTCTTGAATCTACAGGTCCCGGGAATTTTGAGGGGTAATCAATAAATGCATTGCGCATCTATATGCACAGGATGCCTAGGACATCTAGGTCTATCGATTATACTATTTATAGAAGCTGTAAAGCCTTCTGGTGCAAGTGAGATGGATTGTCATATTTCATGTTTCATCTCTAAGTCCTTCTATGTATACTTATATGTTCGAAATGTTTATGTGAGAGGATATAGATGTAATAGATAGATGATATTTGCTTTTGAAATTTTTTGTGTCGTGTACAATACTGACCTTGAGTTTTTCGTTTCGTTTTCAAATTCAAGATTTATAGTTTGTTTATAATAAAATCAGTACTTTTTATAACCTTAAATATATTAACTTAAATTAAATCAAATATTAAAGTTGTCTTTTAATCAAATTTAACATTCAAACAGAAATAGTAAATACAAATAATAATAATTAAATTTTAAAATAAATTTTGTCATGCCGCTGTCATAATAATGTTTTATGTTACCAGATTTTAATTAATATTGATATAAATATCGATATTCAAGACATCAATTTTCAAAAATAAAACACTTGATTACTTAAACTTGACTGTGCATAGTGAACTAAAAATATGGGAACAAATCGACGAAAGAACATAGATTTTGGTTTGGTTGACTTTATTTATATTATGGCTTGCTTATTCATTGTAGCTCTTCAACAACGCGTGCGTAGAAATGGATCACGGTATATATATAATGTACATGAGAGCGATGATGAGGGTACCTATTTGCTATTTGCCACAGATTCTTACTCACTGGTCCGAACAGATTCAATGTTTTAATATTAATTATTAAAACAATCCGAACAACAGAATGGGATATGATAACGAAATTATATGACCTTTAAAATAAAAGTTTAAAATTATCTTCAAAAATAGGAGTATAAATTTTTAGAATAAATATTATCTAATTATTAAATTCAAAAATAAGGAAATAACATATTTCAATAGATGATATTTTTAATTTCTAGTCTATTTACAATTTACATATTTAACGAATATAAATAACTATTAAATTATCGATATAATAAATTGATAATCGATATTACATGTCTTCTTATTTCAGGAGTTTAAAGATGGCAACATTATGTTCGTTTTGTGATTTGTGAATTGAATTGTGATTTGCCTTTACCGCCGAAGAATTTATTTTGTAAATTTGTAGTTTTTGTAAAGTTCTTATTTCGACCAAGCATTTGTTAATCTTTTGTTATATTAAAATTATTAAATAAGTAAAAATGGATGAAGTTTTCAAAGATCCTGTACAATTTTCCAAAGGTGTTAAAATGGAGTAAGTACCTTTTAAAAAGTTACATTTTCATTATTTCTCATACTAATGTTCACTTTTAACTCTATTTGAATAAGGCTTTCATCATTTACAAAAAAATAAAATTATATCTACTAGGTATCCAAATTTAAAAACTTACTATTAAGAAGAAAATAAATATTATTAAAATAACCAAATTAAAGTTCATATATTTAGTTTTCTTACTTTTTTCTAAATTTATGAATTATTATACTTATTTATTTAGTATTCATGCATTTATTTATAAATGTTTAATTATTAAACCTATACCACGGGAACCGTTCATTTTTCCGGGATAAAAAGTAGCCTATGTATTATTCCAGACTATAATCTATCTCTGTGCCAAATTTCATCTAGATCCGTTCAGCCGTTCTGGCGTGAAAGAGTAACAAACATCCATACTCACAAACTTTGACATTAATTATAATATTTATACAGATGGTTTCTAAGCAGACTGGTTTAAGAACACAATAATTGTTACCTATTAAAACCTATGATGATAGGTATATAATATATATATATATATATATATATATATATATATATATATATATATATATATATATATTCTTCAAGAAGAAGAAGAATATATATATATATATATATATATATATATAAAATTGAACTCTGTAATGTAGAAATTACAGCTTTTTATTAAATGCATATAGAATTATATATGGTATATATAAGAAAACCACAATTTTTAAAATGTTTGCTTGTCTGTGTGTTTGTTCCGGTTTATCTAAGAAATGGCTGGACAGATTTTGACAGGACTTTCACTAGCAGATAACTGATGATAAAAGGAGTAACTTAAGCTACTTTTGTTTTAGAAAAACATTATGGGTTCTGCTCAAAAAAATCAGAACATAATATTTAATTTGTTCAATAATTTCTAAATTTGTTAAACTTTAGATTTTATTACATTTGCTTTGCACAATTACTAATTAAAAAATTATTGCAGTGACCTTTTGAATGGTGCCTCAGAATTTCATATAGACACAGATTTTAAGAAAAAATCAACAGGAATGATGGTGACTTGTGATGACGACTTGTTTCCAGATATGGATGAAAATGATAGGTACATTTTTTTTTAATATAATAATATTAAAACAGGATCAAAATTAGACATTCAATATTCCTTTAGCTACTTAATTATTCATTATAATATTCACTTTAATTATTTTTTTAATCTTTATTAAACCAGATTATATTATATACTTTACTATTGAGTGATTTAATATATGCATAACAAGTCATTTTTTACCTTCCAATAACTAGAACTAATTATATGCAGAATACTTTTTTATTACACTCTTGTAATTTATATAACAACTAGAAGAACCCTCGACTTCGCTCGCGCTAAACTATAAAAAAGAATCTAAAAAGGTAGGTTTCATACAAACTTAAGAATTTCTGAAGAACTAGAGAAAGAAGAGATGAAGATTGAAGGCCATTAATACTATGTATCAAGTAAATCTGACCATAAATAATTTTTTGGGTTGTCTTATAACGTGTTTCCCGTGGGAATGAGATAATCTCCCGTGGCAAAAAGTGGCCTTTGGTGGTTGTTGCGTGACGATAAATCACAAATAAAAGAATATGTTACGTCACTGATGAAATTGTAATAATAAAGTCAACTCACACGTAAAAACAGTACAGAAGGAACGTTTAGGGAAATACACTATGACACAAAGAGTTACAATACAAACATACCTTAGTCCACATACAATATCCCACGAAAAACGATTAAATTATATTAAGACAAGTAAGTCGCATCAAAGGCAAAGCATCGACTGCTTGTTGGTAAAAATTGTTTGTTATTAGTGGTCGGTAGAAGCAAAACAAATATCCGATCCACTATATACTACCGGTTTCGCGCGACTATGCTTGTCGATTTAATATAATATATGAATAATTAATAATGAATAAATATAAATAATTATGTATACGTGTTGTATGTGTGTATGTATAATATTTAATAAAATATAAATATTAAGAAATGTGAAGTTTAATATATAAATATGATAAATTAAATATATTATGTTATAAGTTACCAACATGGCTTATGTCACTCTCCAGCCTTCCAACTATTTCAAACAAAAATCACGCTAATCCGTTTCTACGTGAAATAAAGGACAAACAAACAAACACACTTTCAAATTTATAATATTAGTATGGATAAGTTTGTAAACATTGATATAAACCTAGTGACATTATCACCTCCAGGTAAATTTCTAAGAAATTAATTAAAATTCTAAGAAATATATTGTTAACTGACATGCCGGCGTGCCCGCGTGAAGGGATTAAAATATAGTATTATAGATTTCTCAGAGATGAGATATTTTTCTGCAGTAAAAAGTATCCTATATGTTGACCCGGATAACCACCAGCTATTATACCAAATTTCATCAAAATGGGTCCAATGCTTATCTAATGATGCGTTCACAGAGAAACAGACAGACAAAAATTTTAAAAACTAGATTCGGCCTCTGTATCGATAATAATGACTATTTCAATAACATTTTCCAAAAAAAATATTTAATGTACAGATTCAACTCAGAATTTTATTATATGTATAGATTTCTTTCAGTGATGACGATGCGTACAAAAGCCTAGAAGAATCAGTATCAAAACTAATGCTATCATGTCCAGAATATCATTCTTTTAGTGAACTATCTTCAAAAATGATTGACTGTGTTCCGAGCGGGGCTGTGAAAATGATGATACTTGAAGAAGGTAGGTTTTAGGTACAAAATTTGCAATGCTTCAATCTCCCAATAAAAACCATTACTTTTTCCAGGATAGTCTATAGTAATGTTTTATACAGGAAAGGTTTCTTTGTTTGTTTGTTTGTACTGAATAAATTCCGAAACTACTGAACCGGTTTAGATGAAATTTGATATGGAAAAACTATAGAAAAAGCAAAAGGAGGGTGAGTAGCTAGTTTGACATAAGTTATGTCATGGTTTATTGAAGTTATAATTCTTTTGGTACGTTTGGAAAAAAATATTAGAGTAAAATTTTTATGATGCGCGCGCACACCGACAGCCAAAAAGCGACATGATGAAGTTAGCTGCATAACTTTTACAAATAGAGAGAGAGATGTTAGAGAGTGACATACAGGATAATATCTTTAGCTATTTTTGTTCTGTTACGCCAAAGAAGTATAACTTTTTTCGTGCGTACATAAGTTACACACACACTTTTTTTTCTAGGCAGTGGTCCATTAGTCCCATCTGATGCAATAGTAACCGTACATTATGCCGCGTACTTTGAAAATGCCAAAATACCATTCGATTCCACTTTAACTATGAATTGTGGTAACCCTCTGGTAAGTTGATATACATATTGTTTAAATTTTCAGTTTCTTCAATTAATATTTAAATAATTAAGATTTTTATTTTAAATTAAAATTCATTTAAAATAAAAGGATGATTTAGTCATAGTCGAATATTTTCTTTTATAGTGTCTAACATTAGGCAACGGCAGGTTTATCCCTGGTCTAGAAATAGGACTGACATGTGTCAAAGGCCCACAAGCGAGGTTTTTGTTGCTTCTAAAACCGGAAGTGGCGTGGGGAAAAAATGGCGTGCTGCCCCGCATCCGGCCGGAACCCGCGTTATTTGTCATCAGTTTGTATGACGTTGAGGATGTTAAAGCGGGTGCTAGGTGAGTGTGAAAATATCTGTAATATGTTGGTTGGCTTGAGTGAAATTAGAGGTTGAAAGTTGCTGAATGTTTCTTTAAAAAAATTAGAATATCTTTTTGGCTTGCATTAAATTTTAGTTGTATTCACCCCTTTTTAACGTCCCACTACTGGGCACGGGCCTCCCTTCAGTACGAGAGGGATTAGGCCATAGTACACCATACTGGGCAAGTGCGGGCGGACTGAGCATGTCTTTTGAAAACTTGCTAGGTTCTCTCAGACATGCAGGTTTCCTCGCGACATTTTCCTTTGCCGTATTTTTGTTCTGCTACGAAAAAGAAGTATAACTTACGTGCGTACATAAGTACACACACACGTTTTTTTAATATGAGATTGTTTTTTTTAACAGATTTAACAGTCTGCCAAAGGAAGAACAACAAAAATTCAAAGTTACCATAAACACAGTTAAATCCATACATAGTCGTGCAAAAAAGTTATTTACCAAAAAGAAATTCATTGAAGCAATAAGAGAGTATCAACAGTCTATCAGCATTTTGAACGTATCGAAAACAGATGACGAGAATGAATTAAACGAATTAAAAATATATAAGATTAATTCTTACACAAATATAGCTATTTGCTATTTTAAATTAAATAAACCTAAACATACAATAAATATGTTGGAATGCTTAGATTTTATTACTGATATCGAGAAACATTGTAAAGCATTATTTTATTATGGTAGAGCGTGCGAAATGTTGAATAAAACTGAAGAAGCCCTCACATATTACAGAAAAGCTCGTAAATTAGAACCGGGAAATAAAGAAATTGGTGATAAATTGTCAACACTAGAAAAATATAATAAAACAGGCAAAGAAAATATTAAGGTGTTGTGGCAGAATGCATTTAAGTCTGTGCCAGAAAAAAAAGTTACATACTCCGTGGATGAAGTCTTCAAAAATGATGTCACTGTCATGTGTCAAGATTTGGCGGGAAATGAGGAATTTGCTAAATTCGAAATACCGATGAGTTTATCGAAAGATGAATTGGCTTGTATAAAAGATTTGAGTTCTAAATTTGATAATTTAGTCGTTTTAGAAGAGGGTGAAGGGAAAAATAAGACAATGTCGATAGTTAGAAAAGTATTGCCTTAATTTTTGAGTACTTAGGCGCCATTCAAGTATTATGTAAGCAACATTTTAGTAATTACTAGCGACTCACCCTCGCTCCGCTCGGGTTCATCCCTAGTTACGTTTTCACGTTTAGTATCGATTTTTTAGAGATGAGATATTTTTCTGCAGTAAAAAGTATCCTATATGTTGACCCGGATAACCAGCTATCATTATACAAAATTTCATCAAAATCTGTCCCGTGGTTTTCTTATGATGCGGTCACAGACAGACAGACAGTCTATAAAATTCTAAAAACTATAGATTCGACTTTTGTATCGATATTAATAACTTTTTCAATAAGATTTTGTATAACATATTTAATGTACAGATTCGACTCAGTTAGTTTTATTATCATGTAGATTAACGCCCTTCCTCCCCCTCGTCTTGTCAGCAAAAGTAAGCAAATCTCTCACTCCCCCCTCCTATGCTCACGTAAACACTACGTCTCGATTATTTCAGGGAATCCCTGAACATGCTTTTCGATTTTGAGCATAGCATATTTATTTTAAATATTTGAAATAAATATTGCTGACATATTCACCAACTAGTCCCTGTCCCCAATTTTATGAAGAATAAGCAAAGCAAACAAACTGTGAAACTGTTATATTTTACTATTTTTCTATATTATATTTTTTGTATGTATTCTATTTGGTTTATGTAACTTTTTTAATATTATTTCGAAAATAGCGGCTTACCCTCCTATGAACCTATCCCACGGGAACCATAGGTACATTTTTCCGGGATAAAAAGTAGCTTATGTGTTATTCCAGGCTATAATCTATATCTGTGCCAAAGTTCATCCAGATCCGTTCAACCGTTCTGGTGTAAAAGACTAACAAACATTAATACTCACAAACTTTTACATTTTTAATATTAATACGAATTCTGTGTTTATTATTGTTTTAAGAAATAGGATATAAAGAATTGAGGATAGTGGAAGAAATCATTATTATATGTTGTAAAAAATAAATATTAAGAACTAGAATTAAATTTGACTTTTTATTTTTCTTTATAAATTATATTTTTTATTGCAAGATAATACTTTTTTATTTTATACATATATGCGTGAACTATATAAAAAATAATGATTTTAAGAGACTACGACTTTTCGACGACACGTATAGTTCAGTTTGTAGTGAGCCTACTTGCTGTGCCAGCGGTCGCGTGTTCGAGTCCCGCTGAGGGTATTCTTTTGTGTGATGAGCACGAATGTTTCTACTCCAGTCATGGGTATTTATATTTATAATATGTATGTATTTAAAGTTATATATGTGTGTGTATCAACTATCGGGTATCCATAACTGATAACACAGGCCTCGTAGCTTACCATAGAACTAGATGGCGCTGTGTGTTAATGGTCCCAACATATTTATTTATGTATTCCAAATTTTGGATATCATTCACGGAATGAACCATGGAAAGCGCTTTCTCTGTCCCACAATTGCATACAAAGTGATAAGGGCTGAAAACTGTCTACCTCCGCCCAATAACGCTTGCAACTGGTTTGAAATAATAGGGCTCATTCATGTTGCTAATGCTTTAGTGACGAATTATTAATAATTGTAATAAAATAAAATCAACACACAAATAAAATTAACATTAAAGTAAAATTTATAATATTTTTAAATATAAACATTATTTATTAATTTTCACTTTCCGACGTATTACTGTCATCTCCTACATAGACAATAAATCTGGTACTACACAAGAGACGTCTGAACGGTACGGACCATAGATTATACACTTATATACTGGGTACGGACTACGGAATGCAACGACGGATTAATTATATTTATGAGTTATGACTCGCTTTGTAATCGCGGCCTAAGCGTCTTACCTGCAACTAATCACGTCGAAGCGCAAAATCTCAGTTCTTGATTCATTCGGCGAATACAGTATACTTATTTTCAACTTCAGGCAATCGTAATGAAATACCCAAAAGTATGTATACAATGTATTCAGCCTGTTTTAACGTTCCACGGGGGGTGTGCCTTCCTTTAATATGAGGGGGATCAGGCAGTAGTCCACCACGCTGGCCAAGTACGGAATGCCACGTTGAGAAACGTGCATGTTTCCATATGATGTTTTCCTTCACCGTAAGACAAGTGGTAATTATGTTAGAAATGATTCGCAAATGAAAATATCCGAAGTGCGAGACACGGGATTTGATTTTCCAAGCAAGCGCGTTACCTATAAGCTACTACTGCCTTCATCATAATATTATATAAAAAATCAATTTATTTGACGTCACAAAAACATCTTTGTTTTGTAATCTACACAATGAAATTCTAAGTCGAATCTGTACATTAAATATTTTTTTGGAAAATCCTATTAAAATAGCCATTATTATCGTTACAGAGGCCAAATCTATAGTTTTTAGAATTGTTGTCTGTCTATCTGTTTGGGAACGCAACACTAGAAAACCACTGGAAAGATTTTGAGGAAATTTGGTATGATAGCTAGGTATCGGGTCAACATACATAATATTTTTTACTTCGGGAAAATATCTCATCTTTGAGAAATGTATACTAAACGTTAAATAAATAATCATTGATATACAAAAACTCTTTTATTATATCAATGTAAATAATGCATACGTTCGTGAAACGTAACGTAAATGGTAAAAGTCAAATGACATGTTGACGTGACGTGTGATTTCCCAACTTGTTTTTTGAAAACGTTTGCAGAAATAACTTAGTTTTTATCGTTTATAACGATTTGATAAGCTTTTTATCGCATATGTCCACGTAGGTTACAGGTAAATCGATTTTCTAAGCATATTCGTTACGTTACCATTAATTAAAATAGGATAAATATTAATTTGTAAGTTTAACTTTCGATTCAAACTTAAGTTAAAAGTTTAAAAGAAAATGTTGAGTGATATTGTGAATTAATTCCAGGTGCCAAAATGATTCGTTTTCTTATATTAGCTGCCTTTTTACAATGTACGATTTCTCAACAATATCAACAGAAAGTTGCTCCTGGAGTTCCCCCACAGAATTACCAGGTAAATTTTAATTAAATTTGATTTTTAAATTTGTATAAGTATATATTTGCCCATTAAATAATTGTGTGTTAAGGAATAAATAGGGTTTAATGTTTAAATAGATTAAATTAGTTAAAATATCCTGGATATCATCCAGTTATAATAAATTAATATTATAGTAAATCAAACTTAACGTGTTTTAGTTATAGAAAGTAGTATTTGTATATAGCTTTTGAGATTTTACTATTAAAAATATGTATTTGTTGTATAAGTTGAAAGTGTTATAAGTTAAAATCACTTCTCAATGTTAATTTTTTAATCATCATTTTTAAATAAAGACCTACAAGTTTCCAAAATAATTTAGACCTTTTGTGAAATGATTCTTCTTAGTTATAATCAACATATGTTATGTGACTGTTAAATTAAAGTAAATTTTGTAATGTTATATGTAATTTAGTTTATAGTGTTTTCTTTTTTCAATTTATATTTTTGTTATAATTATGGTGTTTTTTTATATTTTTGTTTTAAATTTGATTTTAATCATATATTTTTATACATCATGAATAGTTTCACATATACAGACATATTTTGATATTTGTTTGGCAGTACTTTTCAATATATGCTAAACATATTATGATTATAATTAACTAGCAACTTGTGTTCCTTATTTTTTTAGCAGAACCTTAATTATTTTTCTAAAAAGTAGCCTAATTTACTTCTTATAACATCAGCTATTTGTCAGTGAAAGTCTGTTAAAATTAGTCCAGCCGTTTCCAAGAATAGCCGGTACAAATAGACAGATAGACAAACAAACATTTTTAAAATTGTGTTTTCCTGTACTGTCTATAGTTTCATATGCATTTAGTAAAAAGCTGTTATTTCGACATTACAAACAGACACTTCAAATTAATTTATCTGTGTAGATTATGAAAACTTTAAAATCAAACTAAGAATGTATGCGAGTGATCCTGAAAAATTAATATACACAAAATGTAATAGAGTAATAAAACAGTGATTTTTATTACTATAATTATGGATGGTGATTAGTTAAATGTATTAATTGCTTTTTATTATATACTAGCTAGTAACAGTTTTGGAGATTAGCCCGTACAAACAGAGAAACAAAGAATTTGAAAAAATCTGGATTTGTACTATTTCTCTTCTTACGTCCCCCGGACTCAGTTTTTAGCATTTTTTTTCTATGTACAGACATTCGAGCTCTACATGTTTATTATATGTATCGATTGTATAAAGTTATATTGATTGTATGTTTTCATACATATAATTTAGCTAATTAGTATTTTAAAACTTTCTTACATTTACGAGAATACTAAGGACTCACACTTGCTTCGTTCGTCCCAAGGTTCAACAGTTAGTATGGAATAGTCGGTCCGTTTTTCTGTCAAAAACAAACCTATTTCACGGGAACCTGTTAAAAAGTAACCTATGTGCCTATTCCAGACTATAATATATCTCTGTGCCAAATTTTCTCCAGTTCAGCCGTTCTGGCGTGGTTTAGTAACAAACACCCATCCACCCAAACTTTCGTATTTATAATATTTATGGGGTTTAACATTTTAAATAAAACTACTTGGTTAGAACCAAACTCAAAATTAAACCGCGAAAAAATTCGAAAAGATAATTTTATTAAAAATGACAAATATTTGTGAAAATCGAAGAAAACTTATATTTTGTTTATGTATTAAATGGGGATTGACAATGTGTATGGGATGTAATTTTTTAAATTAGGCTATGAAATACTTACTCCCGTGACCATGATCGCTGTAAAGCCTTCGAAACGTCGGGAACCAAAAATCAAAATAAATCCGCAAAATAATCCGAAAAGATAGTTTTATTTAATAGACTATGGAAATTATTGTTTGAAACTTTTTCCGTCAATGAAAAATCCTATTGTTTTTTTATGTGTTTGTGGTATTTGCGATGTAACAAAAGCTAATTTGAGATTTTTTAGAATTCGTCATTTCTGTACATCTTGCATTATTCAAAATTGCTGAGTATTACAAAAGACTTTTTTGATGCATGTATTATGAGTCAACAGATAAATAAAACTGAAGTATCTGTTTGTAATTACAAAATAACAGTTTTTCACCAAATGGGTATTAAATTATCCTACGGTACTTTAAGAAAAACACATTTTGATTGATTTTTATCTGTCTGTTTGTTTCGTCTTATCACCAAAACTACTGGACTGATTTTGACGGGAATTTTAATGGTAGATAGCTGATGTTATAAGGAGTAACTTAGCTACTTTTATTTTAGAAAAAGAATAAGGGTAAAAAAATAAAACGTACCTAGGGATGCACCCGAGCAAAGTAAGTCGCTAGTACATATTTTCTGTATATAAAAAAATCGATGAGTGTATGTATGTTCCCTCTGGATTCCAAAACGACCGAAACGATTTCGATGAAATTTTTAGGCAATCTTGAGATTAGCTCAGGGGGTGATCCTGTGAAGTTTGGTATTATTAATCGGAAGTTTGAATGCGGGTGAAACCGCGAGTACTGCTAGTACATTATATAGCATGTATTAATAATTTCATTGGGCTACTATTATAAATACAATAGTTTGTACGTGTGTGTCTTACTCACTCTTACTTCTACTACTTCACACTGAAGGCTGGGCAGATTTGGATGAAATTGAAAACACTTATAACTCGAGAACTGCTAGATCGATTTTTATGATCTTTGTTTTGTTGGATTTGTGTCCGCCCCGAATAGCAGAATAACAGGAAAAAATCACAAAAAAATATATGAAAAAAAAACTATTCCATACTATTCTATAGCGTCAAAACGTACCTCAGTCGCTAGTAATAAATATTAAGAAAAACTTTCATTTTATTCAGATAATTCAGAGTGAAATGAAGATTTTTATAGAAATTTTATAGTTGAACAGATTATATATGAATATATGTAATATCTTTAATAATTATATGTTTTCTTTTCTAGAACTATCAACCACCACCTCCACCACAAATGCCCCAACAGGTAAAAAAATTATCTGTTTTTTTAAATAGAAAACAAATTAAAATTAAAAAAAACATTCTGTATTTCAGCACGAACAATTGGGAATATGCGTGTTATTTTTTTATTATTTATACAATACCTCGTTAAATTGTAAAAAAAAATCCAACTCCAAAAAAACTAAAATTTAGTATTAAAATTCGCGCTTGGCGTGACCTCACAGTATGATATATACAGAAAAATGACGACGCAATTCGTAGCGACAAAATCGCTAATCGCTCTGTTGATAATACTTTGACGTCATATTTGGTCTGACCAATGGCGTTTGTTTCAACTGCTTTGACTTTCCCACCTATATTTGTACATTTTAATAATTACTTTCTTAAAAAATATTAATATAGGCTTAATTCAAAAGCAATAAAGATTATAAAAATAATATTTCACCTTTATTTAAATCACACGCATATTTGTGCACTAAATTATCTCCGTACCGTTGGCTAGTTTCAGTGAGATTGGCCGCCGTGGCCGACATCGGTCTGGAGGAAATGATATAAAAATATTATATTATTTGAAATAAAACTATTTTACCTCTGTTCAAGTTTTTCGATTTGCGGATTTATTTTTATTTTTAGATGTTAATGGTCACTTATTATAAAGCATTTAGAACGTATGATACCCAAAATGGATATGAAACTGCGATAAAATATGAAAAAAAATAATAGTTTTATTATAAATATCAATCTGTCATGTTATTTACAGTCCCAACAGCAACAATACCAACAGCCCCCACAACAGCAATACCAACAGTCCCCACAACAACAATACCAACAGCCCCCACAACAACCGCCACAACAAGTGCCCCAACAACAATACCAACAGCAAGTGCCTGTACAACCGGTGCCTGCTCAAAACCAACAGGGCCATGGTCACGGTGAGTCTTAAAATGTTTTTTTACAATATTTTCAGCGGTTATTAATTTTATTTATTCTGTGTAAATACATTTTGGAATACTGTTAAAAAAATGTTATTTATATATAAAATAGAAAGTTTAGTATGTAATACTGATGTAGTAGTAAGTGGTATTCAATCCTTTATTTTTTAACATCCAACTGCTGGGGGTGAGCCTTCCTTCATTACGTCCTACTGTTCTACTGTCCTAGTACGGGTTGGTGGACTTCTTTTTGTCTTTCGAAAAATTGCCGGGTTCTCTAAGACATGCAGGGTTTCTCACGATTTTTTCCTCCTGCATGCACTTGACCAGCATGGTGGACAAAAGCCTCGTATTCCTCAATGCGAAGAAGGCCCACAGCCAACAGTGTGATGTTAAAAAGAGCTGATGAGAACTGAACAGTGTCCATCTTTTGAAACATATTTACTGACTGTGGAAGAAATTAGTTGTAAAAAACTTAAAATAATATTATATTTCAGATCCTCAACTATTGAATGCAGCTAACATTGCACAGGAAAGAGAGTAAGATTTTATTTTATAACAAACATACATACAAGTAAATGTTTAAAAAAAGAAAAGAAAATAATGTAAGAAAATTTTGTTTTTTTTAAAGGCACATTCAAGAACATATGGACGTACCAATAGATACGTCAAAAATGTCCGAACAAGAACTCCAATTCCATTATTTCAAAATGCACGACGCAGATAATAATAATAAGTTGGATGGATGCGAATTGATCAAGTCTTTGATACATTGGCATGGTGAGTGCTTTTTTTTTAATTTTTTGTAATAAAAAAAATTTTTTATGAGTGTGCTTTACTTTTTTTTGTTTTTGTATATTTTTTTGTAATAAAAAAGCACTAAAGAATTATATAGACAGCCCGCTAAAATAAATGTCAAAGTCAAAAATAGTAGCGTGATTTGCTGTTTATACTACTATTCTCGTTATAGCCATACAGATCGTTTACTTTCTTTAAAGAATAAAGGATATTTTATATATTATGTATTAGTTGTTAATATATAATTTTAGAGATAAAATTTGAATAATAAAAACAATACTATATTCTTTTATATTTTGTTAAGCATCAATTCTCTTTTCCTTGAAAGAGAGATAGCATAGTATTAGATTTTTTTCTTTATTATAATAAAATCCGTCAGCTATGTTTATTTATTAACATTTATGTACTTAACATTCTGTATACAAATTGTCACTTGTATACGATTTTAAATCATTATTGTTTGGCTTTATGTTTAGTTCTATGACACTCTGTCTATATTATTCCTTGGTCTGAGCAATTGAATTAATAATTTATATTTCATTGTTTTGTTTTTTTTTTATAATAGAAATTAGGGAACGTTTTTCAATAATTAAAAGAAAGTTATTTCATAAATAAAATTTTTGACTTATTTTTTCTTAATAAAGATAATTATAAGTAAGAATTTAAAACGGTTTTGGTATTATTTTTGTGTGCTTTTATCATGGGTCAAAGCGTAATTTTATTACAATTAAATCATTTTATGTCGTGTATGTTTTGGATTTTTATACAAAATTTCATGGGCTATGTAAATATCAAACAAAATATTATCGCTTTAATGCAAGCTTTATAATTTATAGATTCATGTTTTAAAAAAAGGAAAATATTTACTTATAAAAAAAATCAAAATATTTGCCTTTTTTTCTACTTTACAACATTAGTTTTTGAAAAAAATTAAAATATAAATTTCCCAAAAAAATTTATCAAAAACAAATGTCAAAACTTCTAAACACCACAGATCATATGTATTTTTTTTCATCTATTCAGAACAAGGTCACAACGAGAAACAGCCAGGAGCACCACCGGTCGGTGAAAAAATATTTAAAGATGATGAATTAACTAACTTAATAGACCCCATATTAAATATGGACGATCACAATCGCGACGGTTACATAGACTATCCTGAATTTATTAGGGCACAACAAAAAAATATGAATAAGGAGGGAAATTAGTCGATGTTGTGCTGATTTTTTTTTAGTGGCAACATTGATCGTTGAGATTTAAAATAGTGCTATTCTCATGGTTAAAACGATTCTTTAATGTTTTATCATTTTTAGTTTCATTTTTTAATTTGACATGAGTGCTGCCATTTGAAAAATAAAATTAAAAGAGCACAGTTTATTGAAATTAGTTTTTTTAATGTATATTTTGCTCGAATGTGCTTCCAATATTCTCATAATATAATGTATTTATTTTTTCTATTTTTTATCTACGTCCTAATTAAGGTTTAACTCGATTAAAAAAATTTACTTCAATTTGAATTGTAAATTAATTTATTTACTTCGTGTTTATTTTTTTAATAGATACCGTTGTATTTCTTTGGAAAATAAACAGTTTTCCGTCCCTATTATTTCGAATTATATTTCGAATCTCGTTACTTCTTTAAAGAATTTGAATATTTTTTTCAAATAAAATTAAATTTTATATAAAAATGTCACTCACATAATTTTCAACAGCCAAATCAGTATGAATATAATTAAAAAACATTTCTTTTTAATATAATATGTATATCGTTTCTATATTTTTTATTTCCCACTTTTTTTACTCTGTATAATCAATGAATAGACATTTCTAATTTTCATTTTGACATTGACATGTGCGTTTTTATACATGTTTTTTTGTCAATATATTCATAGGAGTACGTGTTATTACATTTTTTATAAATATATATTTTGTAAATTGTCTGTCTGTCAATGTATGTGTATGTTTTGATGTATAGATATAAAATGCGCGATTTTTTTTAATAAATGACTTCTCAGTACTATTTTTAACATTATTTGATGTAAAAAAGGTCGCGCTTTTTATGTCTATGCTTTTGGTTGTGTAGTCTATGTGTGAATAATTGTTGAAAAATAATAAATTTATATTGAAACGTTGTTGTTTTATTGCCTTTTTTGTTTGTCCGTCCGTTTTTTAATAAAAAGATATATAATATGAGCTAGCAATGGGAGCTTAGTGATAAAGAATTTATCTATGGTAACTAGCGAATTACCCTCACTTCGCTCGGGTGCGAGTACGTTTTAAAAATAGGGTTTAATTTCCTTTGCGAGAAACTCTAATTCTTTTTTTAAAATAAAAGTAGCTTAGGTTATCCATATAACATAACATATTTGTCAGGGGAAGTCCCGTAAAAATCCGTCCAGCCGTTTAGGGGATTAACCGGAACAAACAGGCAGAAAGACAGACAAAAAATTTTGTTTCTTGTACCGTATAATACATTTCCATAAACATTTAGTCAAAAGCTGTTATTTTGACATTACACACAGATCATAATAATAATATGTAAATGCCTCAGACTAAAAGTTTAAGAGATTGATCAAATAAAAGTAAAATAAACACACTCATTTTTGTATATCATTGCAAAATCTCATCAGAAAAATGTGTCTGCCGTATGTATTATATAAGTATACTGCAATATTGTAATATTTTAGTTTAATATTACCTGTAATGTATTTTTTATTGATATCGATTTGTTTATTCGTTAAAAGAGTAAATCGATTATAGAATATAGGAAATCGATATTAGAATAACGCTATAATTCCTAAAATATTTAAATTTTATTTATTATTACAGAATTATAGTTAAATGGTGTAAAATAGCTTCATTCTTTATGTTTGTTTACTGGGCGAATTTCAATGAGAATTTTTGTTTAATTAAAAGTGATTACATTTTATTGGAAGTTTTGGAAATAGTACTTCTTACTAAATATTTTATTTTATAGTCTGTGATTATATTGATATGAGCAACATACATGTATATGCATTTATTTCATGTATCGCGGAAACGGCTCTAACGATGTGGGTCAAATTGTTCTTTTATCTTTTATAAGAAAAGTACTAAACTTTGTACATAAGTTTATCGTTTGAAATAATTTAGTCCTGTGATTTCCCGGTAGGGGCACCTTACCTTTCACCTACATATTGTAGGTAAATTGTCAGAATTAAAAACGGCATAGTTTTGTTTTAATCGAATGAGCAATCGTAGTTATTATCCTTCTTCTACGTAAAACTAAAAAAAAGTACTAAATAAAAATACAAACGGGATTTGAACCGTAAAATTGACTTTATCTGACAAAATTTCGTGCCTCAAATTCTTCAAATATCTAACAAATTATGCGAATTCGTACATCATTTAATTAAAAACTTTACATACGTTTTATGTTTGTCAATTTTATTTACTTCAAAATTCTACAATCTACAGTAGAACAAATCCCATAAAAAATGGGAATACATTGTTTTGTGTTGTCTTCTCGATGCCCTATAATATTACTGGGGTAAGTAATTTTTATATTTAGCTATATAATTTACAATCAATAGCTATCATTTTATAAAATAACTAGCAGTACCTACCCGCGGATTCGCCACCGTTGAAACTTCCGATCGCTACGAAACATCACAGCATCACTCGCTGGGCTAATCTGAAGATTCTCACACCTATCACATCACACTCACATCTAGAACATACATACTCGTACACACATCGATTTATATATATATATTTGTAACAATATTTTAGTTGACTCTGATTTATACACGGTCACGGTGGCGGTTGTTAAATGGGGATATCTGATATTATAGATATTTATTCGTTCGTCGAGTATTAATGGCGACTCCCATTCATGCCTAAACTAAAATAGAATATTGTAGCTTGTTACATATTTACATAAATTTAAATAATAATATTCCATAATAAAAATTTCAGGTGAACATGGAGGATCCCCCGTAATTTACACAGATAAACAAATAGAAGCCTTATTGGAAGAAGCGTTGAAACACACAGACCTTAATAACGATGGTTATATCGATTATTTAGAGTATCGAATCAACATGTTACGAGGGAAATTGAAAAAATAGTATTTTTATTCCTTAATTACCTCTTTTGTTGGTAATTACATTACTATTAATTTGAGTCTTTACTTTATAACTATAATATATAAATAAAAGACGTTACTTACTGCTAATATTATTACAACTGAATAGATGTATTCCACATAACATAAAAATGTGTAATAAAATAGAAAAAACATTTTTTTACGATATCATTTTTTTAATTCTTTAACGTAATATAATTTTTCATACAATTTTACTTATTTATTCATATTTTATCGACTTATGGGTAGACTTTTCTAAAGTTGGCTATATCCTGAATAGGGGTTCAAAACTTCTATACATTCCATTCATCTAGTATAAATGAGACGGAGGGAAAGAGTTTTCCGTTACTTGTCTTGTAAAAGGTCTAAATCGAAAAACCAAATATTATATTGATTGTAAGAAAATATCCAACGCTTCCAAACAAAATACAAAGTTATTAAGAAAGAAAGCAAATATAGCAAATTTTTACATTGTTTTGTTTATTGTAGAAGAAAGATTTTATCATATTAAAAATATCTAATTAAAGATTATGAATTAAAATATCTTGTGTATTTATTTAACGTACAACCACAATCCAGCTAGAAGGACCAATAATAAGTTGTTGAACAAAGTGTTATAACTCATATGGTAACTAGCAACTTAACGTTTTAACTTTTACTATAGATTTCTCAGAGATGAGATATTTTTCTGCAGTAAAAAGTATTCTATATATTGACCCAGATAATCAGCTATCATCATACCAAAATTTATCAAAATTTCTCCAGTGTTTTTCCGTGATAAGCTCACAGACAGACAGACAAAAATTCTAAAAAATAGATTCGGCCTCTGTATCGATAATAATGTATATTTCAATGAGTTTTTCTAAAAAATATTTAATATACACATTCGGCTTAGTTTCAATTTTATTATAATATGTTAACTATCTGTATTTTAAGCTATGCTATAACAAGCGCAAACAACGCCCATTTATGATAAGAATGGTGTGCGGTATGATATGGTAATCATAACACAGGTCTCGTAGCTGACCATGGATCTAGATGGTGCTGTGTGTTAATGTCCCAACATATTTATTTATTATCCATACGCAAATACGAGTATTTTTATTATATACTCTGTTAAAAATAATTATTATGGAGATTTTACACGTGAAATACCTTGAGTGTTGTCATCTCCACCAGCCTTGGATGTGTCGCGGCTATCATGCTCCCATGTAACGAGCCACGTGTTAGAATAACTAAGGCACGTGCACTGCGCTAAATGTCACGTTTTGACTAAATTGTATATGTATTTAGAGAAATTGTAAACATGCCTTATAGTCTAAGATTGCAAGTAAGGTCGCCCATCAGCATTTTGTTACCGGAATAAATAAATATATAGTAGCAGGGTTGCCTAATGAAATTAAATATAATATTTTATGATGTAAAACGAGATATTTATTGTGTCTAGCAAGTTTTCGCATGGCGCTTCTAATAGTTCCGAAATATCACCATATATACCATAATCCATGTACCTATATAACTATTTGATTATAAATTAAAATAGCGAAACCTTACAATACTAATCCATACTAATATTATAAAAGTGAAATGTGAAAGTTTGTGTAGATGGATTGATGGTTTGTTACACAACCGCGCCAGAACGGTTGAACGGATCTGGATGAAATTTAGCACAGAGATAGATTATAGTCTGGAATGACACATAGGTTACTTTTTATCCCGGAAAAATGTACAGTTCCCGTAGGATAGATGTATTTCTGTTTTTCACTAGGGACGAAACCGAAGTGAGGCGAGGGTGACTCGGTAGTAAATCATAAAAGTAAGTCGGAAACATGTTAAATATTCCGTTTACATATAGATAATATTGCCAGGAACCATGACAGCTTCAATTCAATTCCCTCATTAATGACTTCAAAGCGTGTCTGTTGAGCACAGATTATCTACTTCACCAATGTCACGTAGAATGGAGAAGACATACAATATTAAAAAAAACCTAACTTCCAGGCACTAAAATGTAAAAAATAACTAAACAGGGATTTTCATTTAGAAAAGATACCTAATCAGATATTTTCGAAGTCGGTGCCAGCCGATGAAAAGCAAATCTAATATATTTCGATACGTAAATACATATTTACCTATTAGACTTTCATATCTTAAAATATTCTCGGTATTTAAAAAAAATATGCAAAAAAATATTTATTGTTGATTTTTTTTAAAAACCGCTCGACCGATTTCGTAAAAATTTAAATGGGACCACCTGGGAAGTATACCCTTTGAAACAAAAAAAAATTCCAAATCGGTTCAGGCGTCTTCGAGTAATCGGTGAACTTACATAAAAAAAGACTCCGACGATTTGAGAACTTCCTCCTTTTTGGAATTCAGTTAATGAAGAAAATTCGAGTCGATCATCGAATATAGTTTATATCTACCTCGCATCATTTTAAGTATTATTTTTTATAATTTCAGATAAAGATGGTAAGACGCATGAGATAGAAACGACATACAAGGACGAACAGCTATCAGAAATGATTGATGAAGCTTTAAAGAGAAGTGACAAAAATAACGATGGATTTATCGATTATGCCGAATATAAATCGATTACTGAGGGTTAATAAATTAATTATTTATATTATCTGTGTTTTATTTTTTAAATTATTTTTAGGGTTTCATTCGAATAGTTCTATATATCTACTTCTGTAGGTACTAAATTAATATATATATATATATATATATATATATCAAATACGTGTTGGATTTGTGATAAGAAGGATCTGTACACTTATTTAATTTTGGAGCCTGCACCCGCCCGCGTCTTTTCAATTTAGTAAAATTACTTCGCTCTTGTAGGACGTAATGATTACATTAAAATAGCCTTCCTCAATAAATAGTCTATAAATATAAAACGTTATTTTTAATACCGACCAGTAGATCGAGATATTAGCTAGTTCAAATAAAAAAACTTTTTAGTTATATAATATACTAGGTACGATTTAACGGTTAGTATAGAATAGATAAACTATACGTATAAGCTTTCTTCAATAAACGGACTACTTAATGCTTAAAAAAAAATTCAATTCGGATTAGTACCTAGTTCCTGAGATTAGCGCGTTCAAAAAAACAAACTGCCTCTTTATAATATTATAGTACAGATTACGTACTTTGCAGAATTTTTATTAATTTTGTAATTAGGTTTTAACTATAAAATATTTTTTCAGAATTCTTTTATATTATATTTGAAATAAATTTTTATTTACCAGATTTTTTATGATTTAAATAAAAGGCTCACATCACTGATCACGCATACTATTTATTTATCCAATAATTAAAAACAAATTTAGACATATACAATATGGCAACACTTAAAATTAATTTTCTATAATACATCACAAAAAAATATAAAATCAAAATGTAACACTCCTGAAAATAACAATAAAAATAAATTAAAATTCATGTATTTTTTAATTTTAGAAACAATTTTAATTATTCTTATTTTATTTTGTGATGATTTTAAATATTTAACAAAAAATTATTTTAAATACAACTTAAAAATATGTTCGAACACCAAATAACAGTTGTTTTAGATCTCATTCTTAAAAGTCAAGCGTTGCCTCGTTAGCCTAGTGGCTTCCATGTACAACTCCAGATCCGAAGGTCTCAGGTTCGAGTCCAGGGTCGCACCAAGTTTAATTACTGATTTTTCTGTTAAGGTATTCTCAGTAACATCTCGGAATTGGGAAGTTGAGGGTGTTTCACTCTCGTGCTTCGGAGAGCACATGTCCCGTCGGTCCTGCGCCTTAACTCCCACCGGTCGTGTCTCGTGTCGTCTCACCGGAGTATGAAAGTGACAGGAATAGAGAGTACACTTGTGTCTGCACTTTAATACGTATCTCCTGCAGTCGGCTAGCTCAGTGAGATTAGCCGCCGTGACCGACATCGTTCAGGAGCACATTTTTACTTAAAGGAATAAGATACTAGTAGAGACTGAAATGGTATTATAATTTAGCGGTTTATAATACCATTGGCCCCGATATGACCCCATTATTCAGAGTCTGCGAACTTTATGTATAATTCGAAAGCGTATAAATAGTAAATCATTTTAAGAACTTAATAAAATTGGTACAATATAGTTTCTTAGATTTACGCGAATATTTGACATTTTAAATAAAATTAACTTTTGAGACGTTTAAAACCTTAGTCTCTCCCGTGACCATGATTGTACTAAAGTATTCAAAATGTCGGGAACCAAAAATCAAAATAAATCCGCGAAAACTCCAAAAAAGATAGTTTTATTTAAATAAGTACAATACAAAAATAATATTTTAACATATTTTCTTTCTGACATTGAATTTTTATAAGGAGATACTTAATTTGGTTATATTTTTATTAAATACAGTACATAAAAACAAAATCTTTTAATTCGTCGCAAAATAGAATGTTTTATTTTTCATTCATATTTGTAACTAGCGACTCAACCTCGTTTCGCTCGGAGTCGTCCCTCGGTTGGTTCTCCATAAATACTTTCAACCCCATTTTCACCCCCTTAATGGATGATTTGCGGAATAAAAAATATCCTATGTGCATAGGATATTTTTTATTCCGCAAATTTCCAGGGTTTCAAACTATCTTCTTGCCCAATTTTATCTGAAACGGTCCAGTAGTTTTTGAGTTTTCTTTTAACAAAGTTCATTAGATGCAAACATTGTAACAAGTGGACTGAGTGTTTCTTTGCCAGCCGTGAGCTAAAAATGGCGGAAAGACGCGACAGAGACAAATAGAAATACGATTAATGAAGATATATGCCCGATTTCACCAACGTCACCTAAGTTTAAGGGATCCCCTAAGCATGGTTAGCGGGCTGTTAGGGGACAGTTTCTGTTTCACCGACAGTTAGGGGTAACCTAAATGTTAAAAGGCCCCCTAAATTTAGGTGCTCGAAATATGGGCTTAAAGACGATGGTAAAACGAAATTTAATTTAGAGGCTAGTTTAGGGGAATTTTAAGCTAGGGATCCCATACGCAGGTAGGGCAGTAATCTTTTTACATTCCATTATAATATTATATTTTTTTAATTAATTATATATTTTTTACATTCCATTTATAAATTCAAATTTGAATAAAAGGCAGGTATTGGCCGCACGTTCGCTTTCTCTCTTTCTAGTGAATGGTCAGTCAACTCAAAAACGGTTGGACCGATTTGAACAATTCTTTTTTTGTTTTGTTGGGAGTGAATCGGGGGTGGCTAAAGTATAAAAAAAAGGCGAAAATCCCAAAAATCAGCTGGAAAATCAAAAGTTCAGAACTGTTTATTTCCTATAATATATAATCTATCTATTCTACACCGTTAAGAGGTACCTAGGGTAAAGGACGAACCCGAGCCGTCGCTAGTTAATAATAATTATATGGTTATAGGAACATATATTGTCATTCGAATGTCTTATAGAAAGTTTCAAATGGCTAAAACATTTATATATTCTTATACAGAATGTTTATGTGGACTTTGGTCTAATGGCCAGCTTGTTCGGCAGCAGATTCTAGGGTTCTAAGTTCGAATTCAGGTCGGGGCAGTTTTTTTACCACGAAATTCTCAAAAGAATGTCACCGTGACTGATGATAGATAGGGTCATAGGGAAGAGTGTTTATTTCACAAACGTTAGCCATATAAGAAATGACAGAACAAGATCTTTTTAACTAATAATAAAATACATACAACGTGAAAAAACTACAGTCATCCCAAAATTCATTAAAAGCATACTCGTAGATCAAAATATTTATAGTAAGTTAAATTTGCCCGTGTACGTTTCTCCTTAGTTCTGAAAATAGCCACTAGGGAACTTAAATAAATTACCAGTCTAAAGGATTTTGTATCGCATCCTTTAAAGATATGCTGTTTTCGCAGTAAAATTGAGAAAACCAAGTTCTGAACGCGCGAATAGTTTTATCCGTTTTGACGTAGGCTGGAGCGTTGACGTATTTCTTATTGTTCCAAATCGTCACGTCCCTTTGAAACTAGAAAGAATTATAGAAAAAATAAACTGTATATGAGAAAAATAATATTTTTTTACGATAAGTAAAAATCTTTAAATAGGATAAACAAAATTAACAACATGACAACTCGCACTTGGCCAGCGTGGTGGACTAGGGCCTGATCCCTCTCGTATTGAAGAGAAGTCCGTTCCCAGCAATGGTACGTTAGAAAAATTTTAAATAAGTCGTAACTGTAGTGTAGATTCGGCGTCTGTATCAATAATAATGTCGATTTCAATAAAAGAAAATCTTATTGAAATAGACATTATTATTTATACAGAGGCCGAACCTATAGTTTTTTAGATTTTTGTCTGCCTATCTGTCTGGGAACGCATCACGAAAAAACCACTGGACCGATTTTGATGAAATTTGGTATGATGATAGCTGGTTATCCGGGTCCACATATAGGATACTTTTTACTGCGGGAAAATACCACATTTCTGAGAAATCTATAATATAATACGTTAAAATGTACATAAGTAGGGACGAATTCGAACGGAGCGAGAGTGAGTCGCTCGTATACAAATATATTTCTATCAATACTAATCATTAATCAACGTACCTGATAAGCCTCCATCAGAACCATTGCAGTTCCAAGCACAGCATTATACCAGGGAGTGTAGAACCTATGTACAACCTTTTGTAGCAACGGCCCTAAAGGAGTGACAGATTGTATGATGGTCACAGGTCCTATTGGGGAATGGAATCTTAGTCGCACATGAGCTGGACCTATCTGGAAATATATTTTTTATTTTTAATTCTGTCTAAAACCATAGCATATGTATATTTATGCTTTTTTAAAGGATTATATGAAAAACATGGTGACTTTTTAACCGACGACAAAATGGAGGAGGTTCTCAATTGGACACGTATATTTTTTTATGCTTATTTGATACTAGCGACTCACCCTCGCTTCGCTCGGGTTCGTCACTAGGTACGGTTTTACGGTTAGTATGAAATACAAATATTTGAATTTCTCGGCTTTTCTGTACTATAATATGCATGTATTATACATAATAACCTTTCTCATGAATCACTCTATCTATTGCTGAAAACTGCATTAAAATCCGTTGAGTAATTTAAAAGATCTAAGCGAACAGATAATACAATAGTTGAATTACTATTAAAAAGGCAAAGGTTTGTGTTTGTTTGTATGTTGGGTACTCTTTCTAGTTGAAACAACTGGACGGAATTAAATGAAATTGAGTACACACTGACTTGAGTAGGCAGTGGTAGCCCAGTGGTAGCGCGCTCGCTTGGGAAACCGAGTGAAGCGGGTTCAAATCCCGGGTCTCGCACCTCTGTTATTTTCATGTGCGAATCATTTCTAAAATGATTACCTCTTGCCTTACGGTGAAGGATAACATCGTGAGGAAACCTGCATGTCTCAGAGAACCTAACAAGTTTTCGAAAGACATGTGAAGTCCGCCAACACGCACTTGGCCAGCGTGGTGGACTATGGCTTGATCCCCCTCGTATTGAAGAGTAGCCCGTGCCCAGCAGGGGGACATTAAAAAAAAGGGCTGAATAGAGTACACACTACACAGATAGATTATGAGCTGGAGTAACACATAGGCTACTGTTAGGCATACAGGGATGAACTAGCAAGGGTATATTGCTAGTACAAATATTTAAAAAAGCAGTCATGAGGACTGCAGACAGAAGTGAAAACTTAAAACTATAAACAAACAATTAAAATTTATAAATTAAAACTGTTTACATTTATCTGGTTTTGACATCTATCGGCACTTAACTTATAGCGTTAACACGTCACGTCACGAACAGACGAACAAACATTGCAAGTTAAATAAAAAATCGTAACAAAAGGCTCGGGCAATGTGTACTATGTTATTTTTTGCTAATGAATATGTAACATATTCATTAGCAAAAAATAACTTTAAAAAAGCAGTCATGAGGACTGCCGACAGAAATGAAAACTTAAAACTATAAAAAAACAGTTGTTATTTTTGGATATTCAAATTAATTGTTTGACCTTAAATTAAATTTTTTAAATTAAAACGGTTCACATTTATCTGGTTTCGACATCTTTCCGCACTCTGAGTGTTAGCGTTAACACGTCACGTGACCATGTCGATGACGACTTACATGAATTTACTCCTCATCTAAAGAAACCTTCTATAGAAGTTTCCACTTCAAAAATAAATATAATCTTTGTTCAAGATCCATATGATAAAGTATAAACCAACCTGATGTACAACAACATTTGATGGAAACACGTTCATTTTCATCATAATATAATTATGAACGATTTTAATCATGGCTACGTGTTCTTCTGAATCTTTGGACCATTCAGCCTCCCAAGTGTGATGCCCTGATGAAGTAAAGAAAGTTGAATAAATCTTAATACTTTTTACAAAGGTTTTATGAAGAACTAGCAACTCACCCTCGCTTCACTCGGGTTCGTCCCTAGCTTGCTTCCCCATACAAACTTTCATCCCTATTTTCATCCCCTTAAGGGATGATTTCTGAGATAAAAACTGTCCTTTCCAGAGTCTCAAACTAATTCTAAATCTTCTACCAAATTTCATCTCAATCGGTTCAGTAGTTTTGGAGTTTATTCAGTACAAACAAACAAACAAACAAAATTTTCATCTTCATAATATTAATATAGAAAACACAAAACTTTGTTGTAAAATAGATCTAACATTTGGGATGTAACAGAATAAAAGTTGGTGTTTGTTGCAAGTGCATCAAATTTTAATGTTACTTTGAATGTACTATTTCAAATAAATAAACTGAATTTCAAAGGTAGTTTTATAACAATGCTAAGAAAAAATCAATTATCAATGAATTTAAAGTTAGTTTTTAAATAGATAGCTTTGTGGGAAAAAGAGATAATCATAAATTATTATGAACTAAAATACGATGCGGAAGGGCATTGCATCGTGTCATTTAAATTATAAAATAAAATATTTAACTTACCTAAGAAATTATTTAACAAAGGATATTTATATCCTGCATCGGTAAGTATGGAGACAGTGTGGACAGCATTCAAATGAGCCACATCAGCCCCATTTTCGGGAATTTCCTGGTAAATTATTATTTTTATAAAAATGTGTTCACATCGCTAAACACTCATTTCGTATAGAGCTTTCATTTTCAAAATATCACCAATCATTTTTCGACGACACGTTTGGCTCAGCTTGTAGTGACCCTACTTGATGTGACAGGTCGCGGGTTCCAATCCCGCTAGGGGCATTCATTTGTGTGATAAGCACGAATGTTTGTACTCCAGTCATGGGTGTTCATATTTACAATAATATGTATGTATTTAAAGCTATATATGTGTAGTATTATTAAGTTATATGTAACTAATTGGTATCCATAACACAAGTCTCGTAGCTTATCATGGAAATAGATGGTGATGTGTATTAATGTCCTAACATATTTATTATGATTATTATTTTCCTTGTTAATGGCTTCAGATCGTGCCAGTTAAGCACAGATTACTTCGTATAATAAAATTTTAAAATAAATTATAAATAAATTAAGTTTTAAAATATACTTGTATTTATAAGGCGTAACGTTAGATAAAAACTTACTCAAAAAGTAGGAGTTTTGTCAAGACTAAAAAGCCAACTAAAAAGATGAGAAAAAGTTGGAGTAGAAACATGGTATTACGCAGTCGAAGACATACGTATATACATTTAGACTAAGACTCGGGGCAAATTTAAAACATGTGTTCATACAGGATAATATACATAACCTTTGTTTAAGTTCATAATATTACTTTAGAAAATTAGTTTATTAATATTTATATTCGAAATACCTGAATATGAGCATTTACAAGGAACTCATTCCTGCCCCTATATCCCCAATTTCTTGACTCTTCAGAATCTTCTACTTTCCATTGCGGAGAAAGACTCTCCACGTGATACCAGATCCATACGGCCCCATCTACTTCCATCGATGGGTAGGTCTTGATTGATATGCCTTTAGGCACTAAAAATAAATTAAATAATAATAATTATTATATTCTATTTATTCTGCCTCGGTGGTGTAGTGGCCAGCATCTACGTCTCCACATCCGGAGGCCCTGGATTCGAGTCCCAGGTGGGGCTAAGTTTAGTTACTGAGTCTTTCTATTTAGTAAGTGATGGAGAGTTGGAAATTTGGCGGTATTTCACACCCGTGCCTCGGAGAGCACGAAAAGCCGTCGGTCCTGCGCCTTAACTCTCACCGGGCGTCTCTAGTAGTCATCCCACCGGAGTATGACAGTGGCAGCCTTTAAACAACTACAAAATCTAGAATCAGAATTACGTCTAACAGTCTAAATCTAATAGTAGTTAACAAGATACAATAAAAGATGACAAAAAGAAAACGAAGACATTAAGAAGATAAAAGCCAAAGTTTTAGATCGAAAAATATTAATATAAAATATCATTTATTTATTTATTTTTTATTTTATTTGGGAAACAAACAGTTTAGTATGATACAATTAAAAACAAAACATAAAAAATAACACATGGACCAATTAAGTTTCTACAATTAAAAAAATTAAATGTGGCACTCGGAGACTGCCGCGGTAAAGCTATTGCATAGCATTCTTTATCAACTTATGCAATTATAATTATTTATTTATTTTATTAATGCAGTATTTTTTTCCTTGACTTTCTTAATTAATAAATGCACTTTGTTTATTCATATTTAAAACACTTTGTACACAAATTATACGAGTACAGATATTCACTGTTTTACATAGATGATAAATACCTATACACCTATATACTTTCTCACAAACAGCTGATTACGGTAGTTTTCCAATACAACCAATGCCACCTAAAGGTGGGTTGCTGAACTAAAGAGACAAGCGTGATATTTCAAAAAATCATTAAAAGTTCTGGTATTTATCGATAGATGGAAAAACTAAAAAGTATCACCGCTGTGCCGGTCGGAGTGGGGGGTGTCAGGTTTTTTTCGTTACGGAATTTCTGGATTCGGTCCCCACGTTCAAGGCCCGCGATAGAAGCTATGCAATAGCTTAATAATTCATAGATGCGAGCGAGAATATATATAGAATAATAGGTACCTATAATAAATTCATAATTAAGGATATCTGTTGGATTAGTTTTATATATTCTACGAAATTATAAAATACCTGATTCTAAACCAGGTATGCTCACACAATTGCCATCAGCCCCAAATTTCCAATGATGGAAGGGACATTCTATGCAATTTCCACATACACTGCCACCTACAGCTAGATTTGCCCCCAAGTGGGGGCAGTATGCATCTACGATTCTAGCTACACCATCTTCCCCTCTATAGACGCAAAGATTGAGACCTGAAATAAATATTTACGAATTTAGTATGTGCTTAATAAAAAATTAACATGTATTTATAATGTATGAATTTAAGCAAATCATTACAGATTATTGTGAACTTCACGCATACTGGGTCGTGAAAGCTCTATTAAAAATATTTTTATTTATTACGATATATTTACTTAGGCCTTGACTGACCTTTTTATCTGATAATTAAACTCTGTACACCATGTTATCAAAAAAGTATCTCTTATTAATACAAAATAGTCTTTATTCTTCTCCATCCGCAGACTTGTGATGTTTGAGTTATGTTATATAATATGTACTTTATATTACAATTGGTTAGCTTATTTACATATAAAAAACTTAATTTTGTGGTAAAAATAAGTGTTCTTTGATTTAATTTAGAAAACATTATCTGTTCTTAAATAGTTTTTACTTTACTATTCATTACCATGAAATAATTACTTACCTAACGCATCAATAGGTATTGTAGCTCCAACTTTTAAGTTACTGCTTTCAATGAGTGCGAACCAACCATTAGGGTATGGTGGGGGCAGTTTCACCCCAAGTTTTCTTATCCTTTGTGCTTGTATCACATGGAGAGAACGATCTGCCCCATGGGGCAGGTGGTCAAATCCTACTTCAGATAATTCCTGAAATTATTATAATATTTTAATATATTTTTACCAACATATACTGTCGATTAATGTTTTAATTTACTACTTTTTGACCAATTTCATACGTCATTACTATTAGCGATGATTAAACTATCCTACCGGTTACTTCCGTAACATACGACAGCAATGTACATTGTACAACCTGCTACTTATTTAATATAAAACTAGTATAATATAATGTATATATAAAATTTTTCTTCGTTATTTATCAAACGATTTTCTTTTTGTTATGTTTAGTAGTTTTAATGTAATAATATAAAAAAAATTGAAAAGATTTTTTGTGTCTGTGGGTAAAAGTGGGTCTTTGCTTTGCTTATTTTTGATGACTTCATTCATTCCCGGGACAAAGGGGTCTGGATGGTGATTATGTCAGCAATGTTTATTAATATATTTATTTACATTATTGGATTTTCTGATTTTGATTTGACAAATCAATGTGTTCAGAACACACATGACAACCCTACTTGTCTATGCTCAAAAGCGAAAAGCATGTTCAGGGATTCCCCAAAATAATTGAGACGTAATGTTTACGTAAGCACAGGAGGGGGAGTAAGAGATTTGCTTACTTTTGCTGACAAGGGGGAGAGAGGGGTTAATAATTACTAAAATTCTGCTTACGTAATACTTGAATGTTGAATGGCCTCTTAATTAAAAGTATGTACTGATAAAGTTTTACTCACCTTAATATACAATACAGGATTCAAATACGATTTGTACAGTATATAAAGAATTATAACAAAAAATAAAAATATAAAAAAATAATTGAAATTCTTTAAAACTATCTCAAAAAACATTCGTGTAATAATAAATGAAGAATTTAAAATAGTTATTATATCATCTGTAATTAGTTTTGTATCTGTGAAGTGTTTCTCGTTTTTTAAAAAAACTTCGTTGCAAGACGCCATCTTGTCGTGTTTATGTCAGCATTGTTCTGAAAAAGAAATTTAGTAAGTAATAACTGAAAATAGCTAGCATGAGAATATTGGGGACGTGGACTTGCTATTATTTTAGGAGAAATATTAGCTTATATCCTTTTCGACTGAATATTCAATTAGTGAAAGCTTTATTTAAATCGATTCAGTAATTTAAATGTTTAGCAGGTACCTACCAATATATAGATATACAGATTTTTAATAGTTTTTTTTTGGTATAATTTAGTTAAATTCCTTGATATTATGTAAATATATAACATGAATAGGTACTTAAATAACCTGCTTTTTTTAAGTCGGTTAAAAAAGACCAGTACGAGCCCGACTTGTCCGAGACACATAAATTTATGTACATTTTATACATAATTTGTTACTCCAAAGGTAAAATAAAAAAGTTAAAAAAAAAGTTTATTCACAATATAAATATTTATAAAACTACTAGCAGAACCGGCGGAAGCCTATGTCAGGAAGAAGCCTATGTCACTCTCCAGCCGTTCAACTATCTCCACACAAAAAATAACGCCAATCCGTCACTCCGTTTCGACATGAAAGAAAGACAAACAAACAAACAAACACACTTTCATATTTATTGAAAAGGCTGATGCATTGGCAAGAAGGGGCGCTGAAACCCCAGAATGTGGCCCAGAACCATTTTGTGGTATTGCAAAACAACATGCCTATTCAATTCTCAAATTTCACTGCAATCGCCAAGCAATTCAAGAGTGGCAATCCACTTCTGGACAATGTATTTGTCTCTATAGCGCTAATTAAGGGATATCGCAAAAAGTTTACAAAAGAGTTGCTTCAACTCAACAAGTATAAAACCAGTGCAGTAACCAGAATACTTACTGGTCACTGCAAACTCAATAAACATATGTTTACCTTGGGCCTCAGTCAGACCGCAATGTGCAGACTATGCCATGAGACAGAGGAAACTGCTATGCACATCCTCTGCTCGTGCGGTCCACTCATGCACCGCAGAAGTATCTATCTAGGGCAGCATATTATGCAACCGGAAGAGATACAGATGCTCCCCGCTCAGAAAATCTGCAAGTTCCTGGAGTCAACAGGACTAAGCGGAGAACTTTGAACTCACTATAAAGGGAGCTACAATGGACCAAAACTGGTCGACGTAGCTAGGGCCGACCTCGGCACCACACCCAACATATTTCATAAATAATAATAATTCATATTTATTATATTAAGTATGGATAACAGCAGCTTAGTAACGCATTTGCTTTGGATCAAGTGAAGCGGGTAAAAATCCCGGGTTCCGCACCTCTGATATCATATGCGAATCATTTCCAACATAATAACCACTTCTCTAATACGGTGAAGGAAAACATCGCGAGGAAACGTGCATGTCTGAGAGAACCTAGCAAGTTTTCGAAAGACATATGAAATCCACCAACCCACCCTTGGCCAGTGTGGTGAACTATGGCCTGATCCCCATCGTAATGGAGGGAGGCCTTTCTATAAAAAAATAACAATTACCAATTTTTTTAATGATAACACTAAAGCTTGTCAATGTCTACTAAATAAGAAAATAAAAACAAAAAAACAGGAGAAAAATGTTACTGAACTGTTTTGTGCCTATTTATATATGCGTAGATAATGAAATAAAATGAATTTGGTAAGGTATTGCTTATAAGCCAAAGTTAAGACTTCCAAGCGCCTCTACATACGTATTATGTATAGCTAAATTGAAAATAACACGTGGTATTCAAATTTCGCTAATATGACAAGGTCATGTAAGTGGACCATGATAAGTAATATAATACTTGCTTTCAGTTCATAGAATTTACAATAAATTTCTGAGAAATACAATTAATTATTTAACATTGTATATAAAAATGAGGTCAAAGTTGTACGTTGAATCTCTATCAAATGTCGGTCAGATAATTTAGATCTTTGAAGGTCCCAGTTCTAGGCATGGGCTTCTCCTCAATGTGAGGAGGAGAAGGTCGGCGTGAAAGTATTTCTTGATTTGTCCTTCTTTCGTGCAGGCCTTTTGTAAATTTTATATGATTCGAAGACAAGTTTGGCTGTATTCGTAGTGACCGTGACTTGCTGTGCCAGTGGTCGCAGGTTCAAGTTCCGCTGGGGGCATTCATTTGATGAGCACGAATGTTTGTACTCCAGTCGTGGGTGTTTATATTTATAATATGTATGTATTTAAAGTTATATATGTGTAGTGTATCAACTATCTGGTATCCATAATACAAGCCTCATAGCTTACCATGGAACTAGATGGTGCAGTATGTTTAAGTCTCAAGATATATTTATCAAGTAATATACCTATTTATATGGTATAATTATATAATATACTTGCTTTGTATGGGCTGGCACCGACTTCGAAATTATTTGATTAGGTAGGTATTTAATAGGTAGGCTTTCAATACTTAGCCAAAGCACACCGACTTCGAAAATCAAATATTTTATTAGGTATGTATAGTAAATGAAAACTACCAATCAGTTATTTTTTACTTTTTAGTGCTTTTGTTTGATGTCGGTTTTTAATTTTTTGTTAAAAAGTTTTTATTTTTCCCTTTTTAGTGTAGACAGTAGTAGCAAAGTAAGAATTCTAACGTGTTAGGCTTGTCAAATCAAACAAAATAAGCCCAAACTCAAAGTATCTACTATTAGCCGTTGAAGAGTTCCACCTATCCACCTTCTGGCCTTACCATCAGTTCAGGTCAACAATACCGAACCACTGTACTATCAATGGAAATAGAAACCCTTGCTAAGTTTCAAGTCAATATGACAATTAGAAGTAGGTTAAATTCATCATTAGTTATTTTTCCACCCTTAGGGGTGGTATTTTTTTTTGAAATTTAAATGGGACCAATCTGGAAGTATACACTTTCAAACAACACAAAATTTGTCCAAATCGGTTAATAAATGACGGAGTTCTGAAGTAACAAACATAAAAAAAATACAGTCGAATTGAGAACCTCCTCCTTTTTGAAGTCGGTTGAAAAAAGAGTCTTTTTTATTTGAAATGTAGTAACTTTAAGTTGATCTCATAAAAAATTGGCGAAGATTTGATGAGGATCTTTGGCGTGATTAGCAGAATAGCCTCAAAATGCAGTTTGTGCTTGCGAGGTCCATTGTTCGCAGAACTGTTAGTATTATAAATGCGAAAGTAACTCTGTCTGTCTGTTAGTTTTCACACCTAAGCCGCTGCATTTTTGATGAATTTTGATATAGAGTTGGTATAGAGACCTTGAAGAAGGACATAGGCTACTTTTTGTTAGAAAAAATGAAAATTGAGGGGTAAAATAGGGGTTGAAACTTTCAACTGGGAACAAATCATTTCTCAAATTAAAGATATAAAAAATCGTTATAGAAGTACTATAATTTCGTTAAGAAATAAAGAATATTTCGCCATTTTGACCTACCTATTTTTCTATATCTACTTATGTACATACATATATATATGTATGTATATATATATATATATATATATATATATATATATATAGTCAATTCTATACTAACCGTTAATATATATATATAAACTATGTATATATTAACGGCGACTCACCCTCATCCCGATAATGTTCGTCCCTAGTTATGTTTTAACGTTTAGATAGATTTCTCAGAAATGAGATATTTTTAACCGACTTCTAAAAAGGAGGCTTCCAAAAGACACCGACTGCAAAAATATCTGATTAATTATTATTCTAAATGAAAACCCCCGTTAAGTTACTTTTTACATTTTAGTGCTTGCAAGTCGGTTTTTATGTTTTCTTTTAAGTTTTACCGCAGTAAAAAGCATTCTATATGTTAACCCGGACAACCAGCTATCATCATACTAAATTTCATCAAAATCTGTCCAGTGGTTTTCTCGTGATGCGTCCCAGACAGACAGACAGTCAAATATTCTAAAAACTATAGATTCGGCCTTTATATTGATAATAATGACTATTTCAATAACATTTTCCAAAAAATATTTAATCGACTTAGAATTTTATTATATGTTAAATGAGTTATGCAAGCGAGCAAAAACTAGTGAGTCACAAGTATTAGAAGTATTAGTACGATTATTTTATTACTTATTTAAAAGCTCATATATTGAGAACATTTTTTGTTGCGAAAATTTGGAATATTTTGTGAAGTTACGTAATCCATACTTTAATGTGAAAGTGTGTTTGTTTGTTTGTTTGTTTGTTTGTTTGTTTGTTTGTTTGTTTGTTTGTTTGTTTGTCTTTCTTTCTTTTACGTCGAAACGGAATGACGTATTGGCGTGAATTTTTGTGTGGAGATGAATGAAGGACTGAAGGCTTACTTATGCCGCGGGATATTATCTCATTCCCACGGGAAAACACGTTATAATACAACCCAAAAAATATTTGTGATTAGAATTACTTGAAACTTGGTATTAATACTCTTCAATACAATTAAATAATTACGTGTGTTAGCATTTTTCGAAACTCATTTTATAAGAGGGTAAAATAGGGGAAAAAGAGTTTGTATGAAACCTACCTATTTGGAGATTTTTTTGTAATTTTAGCCGCGGGTTTTGCTAGTTATTAATATATTTTCATGTAATAAATACT